ACATTTCAAAGTGTTTAAAAATTAACACACTTAATTGCATTTTTCTAAATAGATACAAACAGAGGGCTGTGACTCATAAAATCATGTATAAATGAAATATTTTATGTTTAGGTTTTCCTTTTTTAACATAACAGTAGGCTGTACACAGTGGCTGGTTTATTTTCCTGAAAATCTCTCTCCGTCACGTTACTGTTTAACAAAGCTAGTTAGCAAAGTGGACTAACCTTCAGAGGGTGTAGAACTGGTCCAGAGAGCCAAGCTGGTGGAGTTTTCTCCAAAGACATGTTATCACAGCAGTATATTTGAATGCCACAACAACAACAAAAAAACATTATATAAACACATCATGAAAACAAAACATTGTTTCATGCACAGGTTTAGTATGTGTACAGAAATCTTTCCCTTCTGAGGCTTTGTGAAGGTAAATCTGTGTTTTGCATCGTCTAATGTTCGGTACACCAAGCAAAAAAAATAATATACCAGTTTGATAATGGAGAAGGTATTAGCCAGCTTTATATTCTTTTAATGTATAAAAACTATTTATTTTCTGAGAATGTATTTATTTAAGCAACTATTCAAATTAATAAACATTATTTTCCATGTGAATCCCAAATTGTTTATTCTTCTTTGCCTTTTCTAAAAAGTGCTTTAAATCAGTCCTAGCTGTCTTTATCCATGCTGGATCAGATCCTGACATTTGAAAAAGGAGGCAGGAAAAGCAGAATAAAGCCTTAGCCTCGCTGCATGCAGTTAGCCTAGCCTTGGAGCTAAACCAGGTCCTGGAAAAAGACGTTTCTCGCAGCATTTCTCTCACTCTCCAATGCGTCTCCAACTCCCACAACTTGACCCATCAATCAACCTCAAAACATCTGCGCTGTGGTGAGAAGTGGTGAGCAAATACACTTCCTGTCACCTCAGGTCGCTGCTTAGCTGGGCCCTGGGCCAGCCTATGTTTGTATTGCAGAGGAACTACTGCGGATGTACAACTTTTAACGAGTCACTGGGTAAAAATTCTTTCACCCTCTCGTGGAAATATGTCACCAATCCGAGAAAAAATGAAATGACACTTTACTCGTCAATAAAGATTATTTTTTGTTTTGCACATCTAAAACGTATATATCAATATATTTTGAAACATTGTAAATAAATAAAAAAAATATCTATATATATTCTATGTCTGCTTCTGTCTCCTTGAACCCCAGTGGGCCTCAGCAGATGGCCGCTCACACTGAGCCTGGTTCTGCTGGAGGTTTCTTCCTGTTCAAAGGGAGTTTTTCCTCTCCACTGTCACTGCAAGCATGCTATGTGTGAGGGATTGTCTTTGAATCGATGCATTCAACTGCATTCCTTAGACAGAAAACTTTGAATCAACTTGGCTTGAGATGGTGCTACTGTATATAAATAAACTGATTTGAATTGATCTGCTTGAATTGTCTCTGTAAGGTGCCCTGAGGTGGGACGTGTTGTGAATTTAGCACCATAGGAAAAAACTGAATTGAATAGGTCCTGCTACAATGGTATTTAGTCCAAAATAAGGTTATGTTTCCTGTAGTTGGTTCTGATTGAGCCCAGTTTGCATTCATAGCAAAAATAAAGTTTATCAGAGTCTGGAGGCCCAGTTTAAAGCGGGGCCTTGGTTCACTGGAGAATATTCTCACCTAAACAAGTCAGAACCAAAGGAAACAAACTCTGATCCAAAACTAGCAGGTTAAAAAAATAACAAATCCTGCGCAGATCAGGGGAACAAACTCACTCAGATTAGGAAATCATTTCTTTATTGGATCAAACCTAAATACATAAAGTAAAATACACTATGCAAGGCTGAGGAAATGTACAGTACAATATTTATAAAGACTTATTTACATTGAACAAGATTGTGTTTCCATCAGCATTCCAGCAAGGAACTGAAAACAACACTTAAACATTAACCGATAAAACAAATAAACGCCCGATTTCCCTTTAGAGAAGAAAAGGAAGGATGCAACACATTCATCATCACATTGGAAACCTTCTTCAGCATGATTATTTTCATCAGTATCATAAGGAATGTATAAAGGTTTCACTGTTTTATGGCACTGCAAGCAGAACATTTGGGCGAAAACAAATAAAAAAGGTTTCACTCCGAATATTGATGGTCAGAACACAGCAAAACATCAAATACAGTACGACTCTGTGAAGTCATCCACATGACACCATGTGTGGAGTTTGATGGGAGAGCTCCAGGGGCTGTGGAGAACACTTTGGACCCCCATCAACACAGTGCACAGCCCATCGTCTCCATCACAGTTAAATGTTCGGTCTCTAGAAACGGCCAGAAGATTTTCAGTCAGAAATAAATGGAGAGATTGAGTTAAACGGCCTCATTTCTGTCTGCAAAATGTTCTGTAGACGGAAATAGCAAAGTTTAGGTATAAAAAGGTATATTTACAGCTCAACAGCAGCAAAACAGAAGCCATTCTCATTGGCACCCCACACCAAACCAAGTCCTTCTCCCTAAACAGTATCCCTATCTTCGGTCAAAACATCCCTCTGTCCTCATCTGTCACAAACCTTGGTGTCAAATTGGATCCACATCTCACGTTTGACTCCCACATACGTCACCTCTGCAAGGTCTCTTTCCTCCACCTCAGAAACATCGCCAAACTCCGCCCCTCCCTTTCCCAACCCGACGCAGAAAAGCTAATCCATGCCTTTGTCTCCTCCAGATTGGACTACTGTAATGCCCTCCTCGTCGGGGTCCCTGGCAAAAGTCTACAAAAGCTGCAGCACATCCAGAACTGTGCTGCCCGGGTCCTGACGAGGAGGCGCAAACACGAACACATCACTCCAGTCCTCAGGTCCCTTCATTGGCTGCCCATCCAACACAGAATAGATTACAAACTTTGCCTCCTCACTCACCAGTGCATACATGGAACTGCCCCTGCTTACCTCAAGGAACTCCTCACACCTCACACCGCCTCCAGAACCCTCCGCTCCACCACCTCCACCCACCGACTGCACCAGCCAAGAGTCAAGCTCTGCACAATGGGAGATAGGGCCTTCCAGGCAGTTGCCCCACCACTCTGGAATGGCCTCCCAGAGTCCCTTAGGGTCCCACAGAGTGTGGAGGCCTTCAAGAAAGGCCTCAAGACATTTTTATTTAAAAAAGCCTATGAACATTAGTTAGTATTTTATCTGTGTGGTTTTATGGTTATTTTACTGTTTTGTTTTTACTACGTATGTTATTTTACTGTAATGTCTCATTTTAACTATGTATACCGTTTTTATTATACGGTTTTGTTTTAACTATGAATTTTGTAGCACTTTGAGATTTTTTTTAAATGTAAAGTGCAATACAAATAAAATGTATTATTATTATTATTATAAACATAATGACTGATGTTTGATCGGTGCTGAGATGTGTTTAGTTTTATGTTTTATACTTAAGCTTTGCTGCTTTTCAAAGATTAATTTAATGTAAGGGCCAAACTGCTTCATTCTACACTGGCACCCAAGGCAGAACTTTGTTTCTGTTAATTAAAAAACCCTCCTTGAATAACTTTGCTGCTTCACTGCAAATATTAAAATCTAGATAAGTATTTTTTTCTTAAACTAAGTGCATTTTTTCTTGAATTGAGGAGGTAAGTGAGACACTTTGCCATTGGAACAAGACAATTTACATTTAAAATAAGAAACATACATACCACACTGGAAAAAATCAAAATCTAGATAAGTCCCTTTTTCTTAAAATAAGTGCATTTGTTCTCGAATTGAGAAGGTAAAAGAGACCTTTTGCCAATAGAACAAGACAATTTACATTTAAAATAATGAAACATAGTTGCATTTTCTTATTTCAAGTGCATTTTATCTAATTATCCTATTTTAAGAGTTAAAATACTCATTGCATTGGCAAATCATCTCATTTACCTACTCAAATTAAGGGTAAATACACTTAATTTAAGAATTTCTTACTAATTTCTAGATTGTTTTTCCAGTGTATTCAATTATCTTATTTTTAAGATTTAAAATACTCATTCCATTGGCTAATTATCCTATTTACCTACTAAAATGAATCAAAAATACAGTTGATTTAAGACATTTCTACTTATTTCTGGCTTGTTTTTTTGCAGTGTGCCGATCTGATCCAAATCAAAGGAACAGGCTTCGTGTTAAATGACGATGGGGAAAACGTTTCTTAAGCTCAGTGAATAAACCGCCTCTTGGATTGAGTGGTAAGAACAGACAAATCTTCTCAGACAGGTTAAGGATGAGTTGGACCAATTTTCTGAATAACTTTAATTTAAAAAAAAAATAAAAAAATCAGCATTTTTCTTCCATCCATGTTGTCCCTTTGTTCTTCACATCTTTGCAATTTGAGTAATTTTCCACTGCAAAACTTTAACTTAAAGACAGTTAAGAAGAAAAAACTAACTTTTAAATATGTGCATTTTCCCGTCCTTTGACAGTTAAGTAAACCATCTCCCAGAGAAATTAGTATTTCGGCCCCAATTATAACAATATAGACACTAGAAATGAGATAATGGAGATTTTTTATTTATTTATTTTTTCTAAACTTTTTTCCATTTTAGATACGTTTAGTTCACTTTTTGTGGTGTTCAAGATTTGTCAAACCAGGATTAAATATGTTTTTTTTCTCTTCCTCCTGCAGAATACTTTACATTTAGTCCATAATGGAAAATAGTGATACAGTATTTTAAACGTACAGATCATAAACAGTTTCATTATTCATTCAGCGCCCTAGTTTCACATGTAATTTTTCATCGTTACTCTGTGGACCAACCTTTCAGTTATCTTTTTAACAAAAATGTATCTAAAGAAGTATGCATGACAGTAAGAACACATGAAAATAATGTTAAAAATAGACAAGGTGGGCAAACAGGGGGAATATTGGTCATAAATAGAAGTAGGAAGGGACACAATGTTAATGCTAGGGTGAAGGGGCAAAATCACGTGAAAACAGTCCCTATGTAATAGTTTTGGCAACTGACTTGGTTTTACAATAGCAAACAGTTTAACTTATATGGAATGAAAACATTTTTTTTTTTTTTTTAAACCTGGTTTCCCGGCAATGTTTTAAAGTTGAATTCTTTTTCCACTGTAGTAGAAACGGTTAGAAACAAACAAGATTCCCTTTGTTCTGTTATTTTGGCTAAAGCTCCTATTAGCTCAAACCTTTAATATGACGAAGCTGTAATGATTGGACAGACGACTGACCACCTCCTGGAACATACAGAATCCTCTTCAAACACATTTAGCATCATTCCTTCTAATGCTGATACACCTTAAGTGATAAATAAGTGATGTAAACAATACTAACTGATGAGTAAATAAAATTAACAAATAATAGGATTCAAGTTCTGGCACAGATGTGTGCAGATTTTCAGTTTTCCCAGCATTTTGTTACAACTTAATGATAATAACAGTGATAATAATAATAACAGTACAAGCAAATATGAAGAAGATGAAAACCTAGCAGCATGGGATGTTTAGGCCATGGTGTAGCCATAGCTCCCACAGTGCAGAGCCACCAGTAGTCTGTCTCTGAGGACGTCCTGGCTTGGGTATTCTGGCAGTTTCAGCATGTTGATGCTAAGAAAAAAAAAAGCATCATAGGTTATAAAGTGATACATGAGAGAAACTTTTTTTTTTTTTTACCTTTATTTTTAAAGGAAAAGTTCTTAATGCCTGAAAGTGGAGTAACCACTTAGGAAAAGGGAAGTAGGGCTAAAATAAATACAGTAATACGTACATAAAATACAATATAACACTAGATGTCCCGGAGAATTCCAGTTTTCCTGCAAGCCCCCCTCCCCTCTTCTAGTTTGTGTATTCACTCTACCTTTCTAAATGTCCTTGTTGTGATGGTAATAACCTGTGATATGACCAGCCCTTCTACATGAGACTGAATAAAGGCTGAAACAAACTGGCATCATATAGAGAGAGGAGAGATTGCTTGAGTTATATTTCCCCCCAAATAAATAATGCTCATTATCGTATAAATATTGTTGCTTTCTACAGCGTTCCAGCTCATGCAGCTATTTTCATTGTACGGATCAGTTATCGTCTGATCGCTGCGCTGGTGGCTGCACTGAAATCATTGCACTGTTGGGGACACTGATGACGTAGAACTAGTTATAATTAATTACAAATATGATCCCCCCCCCCCCGCTCTCGGGTAAAACACTCTCAAAGAGAGAGACTTTAGCTAAAACCGAAACTGAAGGGGGTGGAATGGTTCTACACCCGCAGCGATAATGGGGCATTTACATCTGAAAAGGATTCATGAGTTGATAAGTACTGCGGGGGGATTGCAGGCTGTCAAAAATTCTCGTATCTGTGGGATTTCTAGTGTTAAAATACAACAGAGAACCCAAAAATGATTATTTAAAGAAGCAGCTGCAGATGTGAACAAGGATGATAGAGTTGTTTTGAAGGATGAAATTGAACTTAGTTTATCCAGGTTAAGAATATTTAGCAGAGCGTTCCAAGACCAAAAGTAGTGTTGGTTTTTGGAATAAGTAATACTATGTTCAGACTGCAAGCAGCAGAGGCAGAAGAAGTAGCTGGTTTACATGCAAAGTCAATGGTTGACGCGCATAAAGATGCAGAAAAAGTTGGAGTTGGAGAAATGTAACTTTAGCTGCTGGACGCGCCGCATCAACCAATGAGAGAAGCTGATCTGGGAGCTGGCAGGGAGTCAGACGCAGCCCTGCTGATGCAGAGCGCTATGATCACTCCTCTGAAACAGTTTATTAACGCCTAAATTAACTTCAAATGTAGAAACCTGCCGAAAAATATGTTCGATATTATTATTCTGCTGCCTGCAGTTTGGATTATGTACGTGAAAAACGGCTTCCAGTCGCTGCAAACATAACGGGAATCCCAGTGACAGCTCACCACCGGTTTACAGGGGTCTGAGCGGCTCGGACCAAAAAAAATTAATAAATGAGAGCAGGATGGTAATCTTTATGAACTGACTGCACAGACCATGTTTTCAGGTGAACTTCCTCACTTCAACATAGATTCTAACTGCTTTTTACCCGCTGATCACAGCTAATATAGCTGCCATTGTTCCAGGCAGAGAAAGGATAGCTCCGCCCAATGCGCATCAGACCCACTTTTCGACCACAATGCCAGAGTAGTAAAGATACCAGCTGCACGTCAGAACTAAACTTGGACAGGCATCAGAAATGAAGCAACATGTGTGTTTTTGCTGCTTCTGCTGCGTGCGCTCTGAATGTAGCATAATTGCAGATGAAGTGAGGACCGGGTGTTGGTGTGACAGGCTTTGCTTGCAGCATGTGACCTAATAATGAAAATGAACCAGTGGAATTTGCATTGTTGTGAAGGGAGGGCCAGTTGACAGATCAATACAGGTCGCAGGTGTGTGTATTGAAAGGAGCATTTATGGGAAACCTGATGGCGGAATGGTGCAGACAGTCAAGGTTTGATAAAGTGGACTTCCAAGCAACCCTTCATATATATAGTGTCTACATAGTCTAAAATGGGTAGAATGGTCATTTGGATAAAGGTAAGTTTCACAGAAGTGATGAAGGAAGAGCGGTTTCTGTAAAGGAAGCTTTACATTCTGCTCTCTCTGCTTTTTCTCATCGTAGTTTCGCCTCGTTTGTTCCTGTTTGGCTGTCAGCTGTGCTGCTGCCATCAACACCTTTGTTTCTAGATGTTGGAGCTTGGCCTGTTTTCCAGTGTAGTCCTGTTTCTCTGACTGTGACTAACTGGATGTGCTCTCTTCATCCTCTGACATGGGAGCTGGCTCGGAGCTCGTCTGCCTGGCTGTGTGTTTCCTGGACGGGGCCGCCTGTGGAGCTGGTTGACAGTTGCCTTTTGTATCTATGCTTCTTTTTCTATGTCTGCTTCTGTCTCCTTGAACCCCAGTGGGCCTCAGCAGATGGCCGCTCACACTGAGCCTGGTTCTGCTGGAGGTTTCTTCCTGTTCAAAGGGAGTTTTTCCTCTCCACTGTCGCTACAAGCATGCTTAGTGTGAGGGATTGCTGAAGAGTCAATGAGTCGATGCAATCAGCTGGTTTTCCTTAGATAGAAAATGTTGAACTAATCTGACTGGATGATCTGGTGAACTGGAAAGTGCTTCAGATGACATATGTTGTGAATTGGCGCTATAGAAATAAACTGAACTGAATTACGTAGCCAGAGCTTAGAAACTCTGGATTCTCTCTCCTTTCCAACGATCACCACCAAGATAAATGGAAACGGTCAGACTTGAGAAGTTTTTAGTTTTGCTTCGCAGCTGGCAGCATGTAAACTGTTACCATAGATCTATATTAAACCTCCATAAAGACAAAGTGGAAGATGTTTACCAATGATGGCGTTTATAGCGATTCATACCAAAGATTTTATTTTATAGAAGCACTATCATTAACCATCAGAATTAGACAAAGTTCTGCCAAATGAACTAATTAAATATCCAAATGCGTGTCTAAAGCATGCGCTACATTACATAAACATAACTATTTAATTCAGGGTCAGTGTGATTGTAGATATCAATCCAATCTTCCAGAATAAAAGAAAAAGAAATCCTTTCATCTGGTTTTAGCAGAGAATCAGTCAATCTGTCATTCAAAAGACATTTGACTGAAACTGACATCTGATTTTGTTTTAAGCTGATTTTAGACTCGTCCACAGAGATGAGTCTAACAGATTATCAATTATTTCTATAGAGGTCCTTGAAAAGTTGCTGCTGCTAGATTGCAGATGTGAAATTCAAGAATGTCACTCTGGGTCCTTAACCTCACATTACGCCTCCCGGAAGACTCAGAGTGGCAGCACACTACTCCCGAAGGTACGGCGTAAATTCAGAGGAGAAATTCCCCCATTAATGGACTTTCAAGGGATCTTAATTTATCGCAACTGTTTCTACTCTTTATTTTGACCTTTTTCAGCATGATTAAATAAACAAGACAAACAATAAAGAGATTAAATATAAAAAAAGGAAATTGTAGTGAGAATTTTAGTTCAGTCAAAGCCGTAAAAATAAAAGTCTTCAAGTTTTTGGCCTTTTTGGTAGATCCAATTAAAGGCATTCAATTCAAATCTTCATTACTTCCATCCGTTGCTTTACCTAAGGTGGCTTCTTTTTCACCCAGTTCCCTGTGATAGCTTCCTTCAGAGCCACAATCATTATTTTTTTAAAGGCTTTTTTTAATCATACCCTCTGGGATAACTCCACGGCATAGAAGCTGTGGGGCTTTACACAGAGGAAGCCAATCAATTAACCCAACAGCATCAGAAGAGAATTGCTCTAATTCATCACATGACCAGAAAACATGCAGGTGAAAGGAATTAATGTGACCACATCCGCTCCAGCACTGTTGGTCTGCTTCAGATAGCTTTAATCTTTTAAAAGTTTGTAGTCAGCTTTTGTTCCTTTTTATTAAAACTATACTTGACTTGTTTTTATGTGAATAATGCCAAACTAGATGATTAGCGGGGGGGAGAGCAGGACTGAAATTTTAAGCAGTTTCTGGTAGCCAGGACATGTGCCTGCTAAAAAACTTTCTTTAAAATATCTTCTGAACAACTTGGCGTGTGCAACAATGAACTCTACATCATTGTGTGCAGGAATCCATGCAACCGTTGACCAGCCATTAAAATGTGCAGCAGCTAAACCCGGGCTCTACTCAATTCTATATAAATCAGGGGGGCATCAAACAAGATTTTTTTTTTTTTTAGTTAAACCCTAACAGTTACACTGAAACGCATTCAACTTCATCCAATATCGTAACGCATCACAAACAATAATGGAAACAACTTCAGTTGGATGTAAACTGTACTTAAAACTGGATTCGACAGTATACAGGGCCCGATCTCCCGGGGCAAGTCCTTTCTATTGTTGGGAGAGTACAAATGCGATCATTACACTTGCCCGATAGCAAAAAAATTATTTATCACTCAAAGTTACTTTAAAATCACCGACATTCGATGAAAACGACCCAGAAGCGCTGCCGGCGCCATTTTTGTTGTTTTGTACACATTCTCGCGTGATTTGAAAAAGCCGGGTGATTTTCCGCCAGTGTGATTTTTGTCCAACTAGCGGTAATTTTGATGTAGTTACCCAAACGACAAACAAGCTAGAAAGCGCTATCATGTGGCAGCCTTCTGTACAGTGATGCAGGTCATACAGTAAAAAATGTTCATTAAATTTTTGTCTCTTAGACATTGGAGAGGTGCATTTAAATGTTATAGAGCTAAACATGTTAGATTGGTGACCTGTTATGTTATTATTATTGTCTTGTCGCTGCATTTACTTTGTCAGGGAAAACTGATCCTGAGTCAGTTAAAAGTCAGGGAATTCTGAAATGATGTCAGACTGTGGAAACCCTGAATAAAATAACCATCTATAATGATTCTCTAGAAAAGTCACATTATATTAATAGTATTATCTTGTATAAACATACCGTGACTCTAAAATAAGTTATTCATTTGTGACATTGACTTCTGTCTTGTGATTTATCTTAAGTTTTTAACCTGTCAAGTTTTTTTATAGATTTTTAACATTACAATTTATATTTTTTCAAGCACACAACAGTTTAAAGAAAAGTTTAGTTTGAAAAGAATGTGCAGGAAGGATTGAAAAGCATGTTAACACGGTAATGTAGGCTTGAGTTCATTATCTGACGCATGCAGATACACACCAGGAACCTGGAAACTTAAAAAATACTGAATTACAAAAAACATTAAAAAAACAAACATGTTTCATTGATATACATACAAAAATTTATATTAGGAACTAGAATTATCAAACATTATACTGGGCAAGTAAAAGTTGTTTCTGGGCAAATGAAATGTGAAAGTCACTTGCCCGAAGGGCAAGTGGTAAAAATCCTTAACGTCACCCCCTGGTATAAATAAAAATGCTGAAGCTGTAAACTTCCCTTTGATTCTGTCTTTAAATCAGTTAGTATGCGTCAAACTGAGAAGAAATTCAAAATTATAGGCAGGCAGAGTAAAAATGTCATTCCAACAGTGTTGTATAAGGGTAAAGTGTATGATGACATATGCATGCGGTTCTGTATGTCTGAGTTTTTTAGATTTACAAGTTTCTGAATCTTTCATCTCCACCTCTTAGCATGAAAGCTGAAGGTTCTTTTGTACGTGATGCCCCCACCTGCAAACCAAACATCCAGCAGACCTTGAAATATTCAGGCTAATCCACTAAAAGTGAGAAGGTTACGGAACAATCTGAAATAATCTAGATTTAATTAAATGCTGCTTTATGCTGTTTTTTTTTAAATAAAAAAAAAGAAGAAGACTGATTATTTAATGAAAACTATGAACTGAAAATGTGAATACCATGTGCTGGAAGTAGGCAGCAGGTTGGAGGTATATGGCACTGCAGCGATGGTGAACTTCTGCAAACCGCTGCCCCCCATCAGATAGGCGAAGCCCCCATGAGGAACCCTGGAACTGATACAGATCATTTAGTTATTTTACACCCAAAGCAAGACGTTACTGATACTGAATGAAGAGAACCGCAGTAGCCTGACCTCCCAGTGACGAACTGAAGCAGTAAAACGTGTTCCTCCTGGGTGAGGCTCCTCACCACCAACCAAAACCACTGCAGAAAATAGGGACAGTCAGCTGCTAGCATAACAAGGAGGGACCAGAAATCATGCTGGTTTACAGGTTTTCCGTCTCTTTCTAAGGAGTAAAGTTACCGTTTTCCAGAAGATTGAGATACTAGAGCTTATAAGTAGGTCTTAGACACATGAACATCTCAGATCATCTCGTCTTAGACCACATTTCCACTACCCTTAAAAAACCGATCCATGCCGAGACCGGTCCGAGCTCGGATCAGTTAACCAGGTCGAGCTCGGTTCTGACGACCGTTTACACAACACGCTATCTCGGTTCCTCGCCTCCTAGTGACGATCTGCGGTATTACTGCCAGTATTGAAGGAGGAAATCCAGCTGTTGGTGGCGGGAATGTTCCAAAAGTTTTTTGCCAACCGCCATAAAACAGAAGAAGAAGGAGGGAATCAAGCAAATCAAAATGGCGGCGCCTGTCATATTCAGAAAGTTATGCTTGAGTATTATTGTTGTACTTCGGTGTTATTATTTAAAATGCCATTATTTAAAATGTTGCGTGGAAAAGATTTCGATTGTTGTTTATAGTTGAAGAAGTTGTTGTTGTTCTTCTGTTTCCGGAGGGGCATTACCACCAACTACTGGAATGGAGTGTGAATCGGGATGTGCAGCCAGACGGAGATGACGCGTTCTGCTCATGCGCTCTTGTTATCAGAGAACCGAGCCAGGGAAAAACCGAGCAGAGCCCACCTCTGGATCTGGTCTGCAGTTAGCGGTCCGGTTGTGTCTAGCTCGGTTCAGTTCAGTTTTTGCTTTCCATTTACATACGATAAGTTATCTCAGTTACTGAGCTCAGACCGGTTTTTCAATGGTAGGGTAAATGGGGTAATAATGACCTGTCTCTTCTTTTAAAATCCATGTTTGCATTTTTTAAAAACATCAGATTACGTATTCACTTCCTGCCCAGTATCACAGTCAATGGTCATAATGTTTTGGCTTTTTCCTTATGCTCATGTTCACCGATTGCATCGCTGCTTTATAGAACTGAATTTAAAGCATCATTGTTTGTAAGAAATGATTGAACATCATTTAATAAAACTGGTCTGTAGGAAGGAATGAGCCCTGAAGGAAAAGGTCGCTTCACCAAACCTCACTGGATCAGTCAGTCAGGTGAAAGCACAGCAGCCTACCTGGATGACAGGATCCTCGGGGTCATAGCCGCTGGTGTACTCCGTGTTTCTGCACCAATCCTCCACATCGATCTCTGGCATTCCTGACAGCAGCAGCTCCTGTAAACACCCAGACAAAAACAAGCTAGGACATTTAAAAACAGAAAACCAGGAACAAACAAGGCAATCGGACAGAGAACGGACATTTATGCTGCGTTCACACCTAACCTGATTTCAGCAGCAAAAAAACACGTGATTACATATTAAGGTCAGACGCGCCTCAAGTTAATCTTTGATGCTTCAGAAGAACATCCAGTAAAGTGTGTCGAGATGCGTCTGATGCTCCTGCTGCTCCTGTGCTCAGTGGCAGAGAGCAGCTTTGCTATATTAGCTGCGGGTAGAAAGTAGTTAGAATCTATGTTGAAGTGAGAAAGTCCTCCTAAAAACATGGTCTGTGCAGTCAGTTCATCCAGATTACCATCCTGCCTTCAAAGATTATTTCTCTGTGGGAGCCGCTCAGACCCCCACATACCGGCGCTGCGCTGTCACTGGGAATCCCCAGCAGCAGCTGCCTCAGGCCCGCTCGCCTCTCCAGGGTTTTCCCCTCCTGTTGGTGGCGGCTGGAAGTAGATGTTAGCGTTTTTCAGGTCTGTGCTACATATTCTGCCGGCAGGTTTCTACATTTTAATAAACTGTTCCAGAGCAGTGATCATAGCGCTCTGCATCAGCAGTGCTGCGTCTGACTCCCTGCCAGCTCCCAGATCAGCTTCTCTCATTGGTTGATGAGGCGCGTCCAGCAGCAAAAATTTAATTTCTCCAACTCCAGCAGCTGCTGCTTCTGAAGCCCGTCACGCGCCTCAGATTCCCTGCAGGACCTTTGATGCACATCAACCAGCGACTTTGCATATAAACCGGCTGCTTCTTCAATCGCGTGCGGTGTGAACAGAGCATAAGGCTACGTTCACTCTGCAGCCTGAAGTGACCCAAATCCGATTTTTTGCCCATAGGCGACCTGGATCTGATCTTTTCATGATAGCCTGAACATATCAGATTTTTTTCCAATGCGACCCAGACCACTTGGCTCTTCACCAGCATCTCTGGTGAAGGTGATATATTTTATTTTCATGCTTTATGCTCTTATTTTATCTGGTAATTTGATACACATTGAATCTGAACGGCTACTGATGATGTAAATACGGTAGAACTGTGGTTATAGAGTAGAGGATTGAGGTTGTCTTAACTTGGCTTCTTGCTGAATGGATCTTTGCATTCACCCTCACACCAATCTTCCTCTTGGTTATACCTGTCCTTTTAATATTTTACATTTGAATACTATTGGTGGTTTCTCTTATTAAAATGTGAAAGTGGTGATATTAACCCCTTGACAAACATTGCTGCAAATTGACGTCCAAATTGGACGTTAAGGGATATGAAGTAGATTAAGTTGAGGTGTTCACTGAAGGCCCAGGTACGATATGCCCCGCCCACCACTGGTCAAATGATTAAAAATTTCTGTCCTTTCCTCGATGGGCCCTTGGCTGGTCCCCTACAATTCCTTTTTAAACATCAATCTTTGTACTAAAATATTCTCTCATGATTTGTGGTAGTGTTGCACCGATACCAGTATCGGACGGGGCCCCTATACTGCCCTAAAATGGTGGTATCGGTATCGGCGAGTACCAACAAATAGGGCACCGATACCATTTTGAGAGCCATAAGTTTATTCAACTATTGTCACCCACTCCTGGTAGGCAATAAAAAGTTCTACTGGATTCAATTTGTATTAGATTTTTTCCTGCTTCACAAAGGAAGGCAGCAGCTTGACAAAGCCATGATGGCAATTATTTTACATTATTATGGTATCGGTATCGGCCGATACTGCACAGCCAGGTATCGGGTATCGGCATCGGGGCCAAAAAATGGCATCGGCGCAACACTAATTTGTGGACATTAAGATCTAAAGAAAGGCGCCATCTTCTGGTCAGACCCTGTAATTCAGTGAAAGGGTGGAGTCAGAGTAAAACAATATGCACACCCAGAAGAATGAGGGGGGGCTCCAGTGGCTGGAAGTTGGAGGGGATTTTGCAGGAGATGAAGGGAAGATTATGTTGGCGTTTGATCGGGAAGGGCCATGTTGATTGGCTGCTACTGTAAATACATGCAAATAAGATGAAGATGACAATAAGTTGCAGGAGAATCTAACTGTATAATATTCTTTTTTTTTTTTTACTTAATTTAAACACTTAAAGCTGTGTTGATGTTTGTTAAATAGCAGAATATGGACAAAGTTTTATAGACATTTTTAATGGAAAAACAGTTAGAGACATACAGGAAAAACAATGCGCATTTAGACATTAACCGAAACTTAGAGTAACTTGTTAGTCATGTTTTTGAACAGGCCGGAGTACCCAGAGAGAAGCAACGCATGTAGGGAAAAAACATGCAAACAACAGGCTGGGATTGGAACCCACAACCTCAATGCTGGAACATAACAGCACTGGCGTTCATTCCACACGACACAGTTCTAAGCCTTATATGGTTTTACAAGTTTTGTTATGGTGGAAATATGACACTGCAACTTTACAGTTATTTTATATTCATGCTTAAAAAATTTATTCAAGCTGAGATGAAATTTTAGCTGGAAAACAGAAAACCCTACCATCTCGGTGCTTTAAATTCAAAGCAGCATGTGAGTGCTAAAAGCAGCCAGTCAGAGGGAAAATGGAAAAGCTGCTGCGAGGTGAAAACACTAAATTGACTGCTGGGTTGCCCTGAAAACATGTCACCATTCCAGGCTGGAATATATGTCGTGCTGCACAGGGATCCATGCATGATGTGGCATTTGCCAACACAAAAACACAAAATAGAGAAAAGACCCCAAATGGGGTTGAAGAGAAACAGGCGCCAAGGTGACACAGAAGGCCCCTCCCCCCCACATGGCTAATCAATCCCTCATCAGATGTGAGAGGTGTCACGCAGAGGGGAGCAAGGACAACAGCAGCAGTAAAAGGTGATACATGAAAGCAGAGAGGGGGAGGAGAGGCACGTACCAATTCATATTCGTCAAAAAGCTGTATGAGCGATGGGGGGATGAAGGTGTGGAATCCTTGTAAGAAGGCGTTTATCTGAGGCTGGATGGCTCGTGTCATCCTCAGCTCCGTCACCAGCTGGACGTACTCCGCCTGAGAAAAACATTCACTCACTGATCAAAACCTCTACAAATACAGATGGACAAGAGAAGGACGAAGTTCATGAATAGTTATTCTTTCCCCAGGGGGCTTTTCAGAGCCTTACAATACAGCACCACCTACAGGAGTAATGTAGAATTACAAGGCATTTGAAAAGGGATCAATGCTTTTCTGACATTTTAAAAAACATTGAGCTTATGCTTTGAATGACCATCTATATAAATAACTTTGACTGACCGTCACACACTGGTATGTTTTCCAACTGGGGATATGGTAGCTGGAATCCATATTTATAAATATAGATTCAGGAGAAAATGGAAAAGAACGCGACCTTAAAAAGCAGTACTGTTTATAAAGACCAGAAAAATGGCAGTGAGATGTCTTCAGCAATATCTCAACTGCGTGCTTTAAAATGACCCTTCATCATCAGCCATGTTAAAGGAAAAATCTGCTCACATTCAGAATTCAAACTTCTGAAAGTTCTTTAAATCTGAAATGATTCCATCCTGTCCAATAAATGATCAGTGTTTTTAATTCAGAGTCATTTTCATGTGAATGTGCTTTACTGGAGGCATCCATGTTTGTCAAAGAACACTACTGCCACCTACTGGTTAGTGACATTGTCACGGTGCGGTATCGGCTGTTGATCAAGTCCCAGTGCTGTATCTGGTGTTTGTCACAACGCGCTATTATCCAAGTCATCTTGAAAACATTCTTCTTCCAAATGTTGGCTACATATTACGGGTTTTTTCTCTGGCCAGAAGTTCGATGGCAAATCCTCCCTCTTCAAGTTGGCGATCCAACGACCAACCCGTCCGTGGAGGATCAGGAATCAGAAAGGAGGAATAACTCTTTTTTTCACTTTTACCCGATGTATTCCAGCATCCAGCTGCCATGCACGTGGGCATTGTCAGTTTCACTATAGCTCTGGTGAATTTCAATGGTGAAGTCCTCTGGAAATCTTCAATAATTGTTGTTGATTGCAGATGTGTCTAGTAGTTCCCATTGATTTAGCTTGGAAAGCGGGGAGAATGGCGCTAGGCTTACCGCACCGTGACGTCACTGCTGGAAGATGGCAGGAGGGAGGGGCTACTATATTTGGGCAAAAATGTCCACTCCCTGACTTTTATGAATTTACAATAAATTTATAAAATCACCTCAAACGTATTAGTTTTAGGTATAGATAATGATCCATTGATCATTCCTTGCTGACCGGACTTCTGCTTTAACAGAAAAAAAAAGAGCAAAAATGCGAGGAGTCTGTGCGATGATCAAATATTTAAAAAAAAAAGAAAAGAAAAATACAAGAAAACTCCAAATTCTTTTTTGCAGTGTTAGTTTATATAGATTTTCATTCATTTAAATATATTCTGACAGTAGGGTTGGGGTTGTCCGTTCAACACCTGGCTGAGGCTTTCAGTTTGGTCTCTTTCAGCAAAACACTTAAATCGCACTGCGTACTGATGGTGCCAGCTGCCTCACTTCTGTCAGTGATGTCACTGTGGCCATAGCTGCCCTGGCAGCGTGCCACCATCAGTGTGTGAGTGAATGACTGAATGTAGTGTAAAGCACTACAAATCTCAAGTCTTGAAAAAGTGTTACACAAGTACAGGCCCTTTACCATATGATGAAAAAAGTTTGTTTACGAAAGTAAAGAAGTGGCTGGAAGTTGGAGGGGATTTTGGGGATCTCATTAAAGACAATTCAATATTAAAGGAGTTTGATAAAACAAACTTTGAATAAAATCTAAACATCTAAACTGTTCTCATAACCGCTCTACAGCCGGTTTCAGCTGGTATTATAATAATTTATTTATCTTGGGTGATTGGTTCCTAAGTCTATCAAGCATCTTTGACTAAATTTTAAGAGAATCTATGGAAGAAACCAAAGATTAATGACAAGTTTAAAAAGAAATATTGCTCTAAACCAAAGTCTGGCATTGGTACAAATCATCTTCAATTTGATTCAGTTTAATTCAAAGGAACGGTGAGAGTACCGTCCCCTGTTTGTCAGGTAGTCTTTGATCCAGGTGATTGTTGATGCCTCCACCTTAGTCTTCTGGAGTTTCTCACAAAGTAAGTCAGGCTGAATGTATTTTTTTCCCCAGCATTTTATTGTCATTAAACTGTCACAAGTACAGAGCAAGGAAATGAACTTTCTTTGGCAAGAAAACAAGGCTGGAGGTTTTCTACATTACTGGAACTATCGCCAGGGTCAGACCAAAGGGCTCATAATCCTAACCTGACTCCGCCAGATGGATTTGCTCCGCATATCCATCTGGAAACCTTCCGTAGAAGTAATTTTGGGAAGGGGCGAAAATACTGGTTAGCTGATTGTCCTATGTTGGTGATAGACGGGCCAAATAAACCAATCAGATCAACGAAGCATATGACGTACTAACAGAGCGACGACGAAAACCACAAGCCAGGCTACTCTTGCTGAAACCAGTCGGGAGAAGAGCAAAAACATCTTTTCCTCTGAGAAAAGCCTCCAGAGCAGTGTTTTGCTCTTCTTTCAGTGAAGAAATACTCTGTAATTCCCATAAAACTTGCTCGATAGCCACGCTAACGCTAGTTTCATCGGCTGAAGCCGCCATGTTCTTTAGACTGAACTGTCGCGCTTCTCGTTGCGTCACACCTCAACCCGCCTCAAAGCCAACGCTGATTGGACGTTCGTTTGGTGAACGGCTCCAAATTTTCTTTAACCGAGAGTCTCCAGACTGATTAGCGAGTGAAACCTTGAAAGCTCGCGAGATCAGGATGGCCTCACGAGGCTATCATAATGCATGACCGACGGACATTTTGCGTGGAAAATGAGCCGTCCCTCCCAGCGTCTGCAGCATTATAGTCTGTGTAGGTTTCCCCCATTCTGGTTGGCTCCAGGGGGTGTGTGTCTAGCACAGCTGGAAGCTGAGAAGAACACACTTCATGCAGTTCAGGAGGGACAGTTGTTTCTTTCCACAATGTTTTGATGGTGGTGAGCTAAATCATTGGAAGTCCATAGATGTTTGCAAACCCTCGCCGCAGGGGAGGGTTCATCAGCTCTGTCCAGACTTCCATCTGTCTGATCATCCTTCTGCTTGAAGCATGTGATCTTCTTCATCTCTGATAGTGTTGCCGGAGGTTGTTTTCCAGCCTTTTCCTGTATACCTCCTTGCTTTCTCTGATCTTGACCTTAAGTTGCTTCTGTATTATCTTCATTAATTCCCTGTCTACCTTCATAAAAGCTTTTTATTGTTAGACAGTTCCTTCATATCACTTGTGATCCCTGGTTTAATATTTGGGAAGCAGTCCAGTGCTCTGTAGGGATGGTGTTATCCACACAGAGGTTTATGTAGTCAGTCACGCACCCAGTCATTGCACTGATGTCCTCTCCATGTGGATGACAGTGCATCCCAATCTGAAGTCTCAAAAAAGAAAACCTGCAGGGCTTCTTCAGCTTTCTGTGACCATCTTCTGTTATCCAAGAGGAGTTCTTACTTGTCCTTAACGTTTGCATAAAATTAGTGCAAAGTTTTGTTTTCTATGCATTGTCTACTGATGGTGGTCAGAGGGCCCGGTGGCGCCAGTGTACGGCAGCCCCGCTTCTGTCAGTGAGCCCCAGGGCAGCTGTGGCTACAATGTAGCTTGCCACCATCAGTGTGTGAGTGTGTGCATGAATGGGTGAATGAATGTAGTGTAAAGTGCTTTGGTCAGGTCTCCTGACTTGAATAAAGGTGCTATATAAGTACATGCCATTTGCCATTTACCATTCAATGGTGCAGCAGCTAAAAAACCTATTGAAATGTTAGCAGTGTAGCAGGGAGGTTGGCGTGATTAAAATAAACATTTATTGCCACAGATGCATTTGGCTGCTACATCTATAGCTTAAGCCTCTGTCACACCTTGGCGATTTAGCCAGCGTATGCTTGACTTGCCCAAAATCTGGTAAAAACGCTGGCATACATTGGATAAGTCATAATTTATAAGTCAGTTATCACATGTCGACTAGCACACATCGACATATGGCAAACAAGTCGAGAAATATTTAGCATGGTCAAAATTTCCCAACGTATGCCAGCGTATGCCATAAGTTACAGATGAGTTATCTGGACCGGCCCCGGAGCTGATGGCTCGGTTTAAATGCCCGGTCCAGTCCAGTCAGTGGCCAGCAGCCCATCTAATTCTTGTAGAAGTAAATCCAACTGTAGGCTTAACAGCTAAACTGCTGTCTTACATCTACCTCTATTGATGTTCTTGGACGAGTGAACAAGTGGGCTGGTCTGGATGTCAATTTTGTTGGACTTGGGCGTGACAAAAGTACAGGCAGGAAACAAATAAGGCAACATCCCCGAATTGATGTCAACTCGGGGCTACTTTGGATCCGCCCGTTTTATGGTGGAAGTTTAGAATAGTGAGATTTGCAGAGAAAGGAGGTGCTGATGGGGTTTGAACTTCTCTGTACGTCCATTTCACCCACTGAACTATCGTTATTCATCTATGACAATGGAAACTCGGCTTTGCATTCAATGGCCCCTTTAAAGCGTAATTAACCGATAAGTCGTGGAATCTACCTTATTGAAAACCTATGAGTAACTTGTACATAACTTCTGCGTAACTTATGAAGAACGCACATCAACATATCTGACATGTTCCAGACGAGCGCTGAACATGTTTCTAACTTACAGCTATTGTTTAATGGCATATTGGCAGGATCCTCCCTGCGTTTACACTCATGGCCAACAAATGTTCTAGCAGATATGAATCTGCTGTGACTGCAAAACTTATTTAATAAGGCAATCAAATAAATCTCTTTATGCAGGCTTGGCGCATCTGGGTGCATCGCTGCCCCCCTCAGGACACTGGCTTGGGCATCATTTCATTGGCATTACGCTGCTGTGCGTTATGCAGAAGTTAGGCTGTCGTTGGACATAAGTTCTGGACTCCTTATGAATACTATATGTATACGCTAAAAATTGAAAAAAATAAATAGAAAGTTCAGCATATAGCAGTGTTTTAGGAGATTCTGGCCCGTCAGACCTACGCTGGATAAATAATCAAAGTGTGACAGGTGCTTTAGCAGCAATGGAAGTGATTTTGTTAAATGCAGTGTATGGCCAAAGGTGGAATGTAAACCATTGCTAACAGAACACTGGTAAACCATCTGGTTAAATAATATGGATGAAAACCAACTGCCAAAAGTTCAATATCTGGGCTGCAGTGATGAATCTTCACATTAATATGTCCTGGATGACAAACAATGCCAACCCACCTCCCTGGAGTCAGAGACAAGATCCTATGACAAGGTTTCAGTAAAAAACACAATGCTGAATTCCTGATAGCGTGGCCGGGTCCTAACTAGGGAGTAATTCTGAGAAGTGTGTTTTGTAGTAACCAACCTTGTTGTCTTGGGTGACCAGGATGCTGCTCCCTCCAGGTTTAAGGGGCACTTCCTCCATCGCTCCAAAAACATCCGTCTCAACAGAGAAGGTTAACTCCAGACCCAGATCACTGATGTCATTATCCAAGATCCACTGCAGGTTTTTAGCGTACTCTGGATCGATAGAGGAAACATCCTGGTAGTTTACTGGAATACCTGAGAACCAAAGTAAAACATAAGCGTTGATAGAAAAATGACATGACACTTAAAGCAATATGTGACAGTTGTTTTTACAGTAAAAAAGGATGACAAAAGAAATTACATTTTGATCAGGAGTTTAACTAAATTAAGTTCTAGGAACCTCAGCAGCATCATCATTTTGAAGAAGTAAATCTGTAGAGTCTAAATTTACTAAGTTGAGCAAACTGAGTGCCACTAAATTAAAAAGACAAAAAAAATTAAAAGTTTTCTGTCCTATAAATGAACTAAAGGATCCCAGAGATCTTTAACATACCTTGGACATCAATGGAATAGATTCATGGATTTACTATTTATGCTTTACTGTAGCTTAAATATTGAAGACGAACAAAAAACTGTTTGATATCCGACAAGAAAAACCAACCTAAATGAGAAAATGAATCAAACCCTTAACCTTCACATGTGGAAATGACGCTTTTAGATCCCTACAGGTAATGTAGGGCAATGGTTGGTCAGAAGGTTTGTCCTTTACCCGGTGGGTTGTCGGTTCAAATACCCACTTGTTTGGTTCTCGGTTGTTGCGTTCTTGAGCAAGATACTTGAACTTTTTCCCATGCTGATGGTGTTAAGGGGGCCATGTGGTATGAACTGTATGACAGCTCCCCTACAGTCAGTTTCCTCCCTAGCAGATGTGGCTAAAACATAGCCTACCACCGTCAATTCAATTTATTTCTATAGCGCCAATTAAAAACACGTCGTCTCAAGGCACTTTACAGTTCAACCAGATCATACAGTCAAATTGATCTAAGGAAAACCAGCTGATTGCATCGACTCATTGACTCTTCAGCAATCCCTCACACTAAGCATGCTTGTAGTGAGAGTGGAGAGGAAAAACTCCCTTTGAACAGGAAGAAACCTCCAGCAGAACCAGGCTCAGTGTGAGCGGCCATCTGCTGAGGCCCACTGGGGTTCAAGGAGACAGAAGCAGACATAGAAAAAGAAGCATAGATACAAAAGGCAACTGTCAACCAGCTCCACAGGCGGCCCCGTCCAGGAAACACACAGCCAGGCAGACGAGCTCCGAGCCAGCTCCCATGTCAGAGGATGAAGAGAGCACATCCAGTTAGTCACAGTCAGAGAAACAGGACTACACTGGAAAACAGGCCAAGCTCCAACATCTAGAAACAAAGGTGTTGATGGCAGCAAATGGGTAAATGACTGTTGGTGGTTTTACATGCTTTGCAGTCCTCAGGCTTTATAAAAGGTTCATACAACTGAAGGTCAAACATATCTTTTTTTTTACAGAGTTGTTTTTATCGAGCCATACTAAAGGGTTTTCAAACATTTTTGCTGTTCAGTCACGGCAACACATATCGATTTGATTCCGTTACAGCTGCTTCAAAAATCTTCATTTTGTAGTTTTTTTGCTCCTTATAGATGTTATAGTGTAATTCTAACTGATGGGAGACTTTCTCCTTCAGGGTTTTTGCAGTAAAATTCAGAACCCCCCCCACACACACACACAGCCCTCTTTAATGTCTCTAGAATGCAAAGATTGTGGGGAGTGTTGGCCAAGTGGTGAGAGTAGTCCACTTGTGCTCTGAGAAGGTTGCAAGTCCCAGTTCGATCCACACAGTCTCCACTCGGGTCTCTGAGCAAGACCCTTAACCCCACACTACTCTGCAGGCGCCACACAATGAAGGCCCACTGCTCCCTAAGGGGACGGGTTTAATGCAGAGGTAAATTTCTCAAGGGTGAGATCAATGAAGTTCAACTATTATTATGTAAAACAGCTCCTATGTAAGCGATTTCTGAATGTAGCTTAATGAGGGTTGGGTCTGGCTAAAAGTTACTCTAAAATTAATAGAGTAAAAGAAGCCGTTCACCGTATTTTCAGGACCATAAGGCGCACCGTACTATAAGGCGCAGTCTCATTTATGTGTGCCATTACTGTATTTAACACACACATAAGGCGCACCGGACTATAGGGCGCGGGTTTTATATACCGGTACATGTCCTCTACTACGTTTAAATACCTCTACTGCGTATTTAAAAATAGAGCGGGAGCAAAACTGAGTGTGATTGTGCTTTATTCATGTATTTAGTACAAAGTATTAATCAAGCTGGCCGTGAGACAGAGACATCGCTGATGATCAGAGCTCTATGATCACTCCTCTGAAACAGTTTATTGACGAATAAATTAACTTAAAATGCAGAAATCTGCCGGCAGAATATGTTGGCTTTTATTATCCTGCTGCCTGTGGTTTAGATTATTTAGATGAAAAACACCTACCAGCCGCCGCGGTGAACCGCGAGGAGGCGACCCGGCCAGAGGCTGCTGTTGAATGGGATTCCTACTGACAGCGCGCCGCTGGTATGTGGGGGTCTGAGCGGCTCCGACAGAAATAATATTGCAAGGCAGGATGGTAATCTCAGTTTCCAGGTGGATTTTTCCAGGTGGATTTTCTCACTTAAAAACATATTAAAACTACTTTTTTTCCACTGATCACAGCAAATATAGCTGCAAGGCAGAGAAAGGATAGAGTAGCTCCGCCCACTGCGCGTCAGACACACTTTTGCACCGCGCAGCCAGAGCAGCAAAGCTGCTTCAGCCACGCGTCAGAACTAACTGGTACATGCAGCAAAAATGAAGCAGCAGACGCCATTTTGCTGCTCTTGCTGCGTCCGGTGAACGTAGCCTTACTTTGAACGGCCGGTTCACACCGATGTCGAGCGGTTGAAGTTCCTTTGTCAGACCTCCCGGGATAACGGCGAGCACAGCGTTCATTTGTTTCCCCATGTTTTTCACATCAGCTGTGAGATGGGCACGCATGGAGTCACAGAGTAACAGCGATGGTGATGCGTGGAAAAAAACCACCTGGTCTCCTTACATTCACCTCCCTCAGCCACTCTTTCATCGTCTCCTCAATGAGGAGATGAGGAGTTCTGCATAAAGCACATAACTGTTTTTTTATACACAATCCACGCCCACACTTCCCCCTTTAACGTTCTCATGGTGGTCTCAACCACGTCCGCAGTAACAACACACATAGGGCGCGCCGGACATTTTGAGGGGAAAAAAAAGACGTTTATATGCGCCTTATAGTCGTGAAAACACTGTATATTCAGATAGATTTTTAGCAAATATAAACTTTGGTTATACTTGAATAAAATTTAAAGTACGCCGAAAAAACAAACCAAAAATATAAGTCATCAAATTTAACGGGTAAACATGACAAACAGCAGATTGGAATAGCAATTCTAATATTTGCAACAGAGTTACTCTCTAATTCTTTCCATTTCTACATCTCACCCTTTTTGTATCACACCATGCGAAGGTGTGATAGCTGATTCACTAACTGCACCACTGGCCTTTGGTTTACTTTTGTTCACTTTACATATGAACGGGTCCCCCCCTTTGGAATGGGGGTTGTTTGGTTTCTTTTGTTACCCTGCAATGCCCCATACCGGTCTATGTCTCTGAAAGGGAATTGTGGGCCCGGCTGAATAGGCGAGGTCTTCTGTTCCCCTATAAAGGGGTCCGGGTTGCGATGACAGCGGGAAGGAATCAACTCAGGCTGAACATGTAGCAAGTTAAAACTTTTACACTTTCTCGGAACATCTAGACATCTTTATGTTTTTCCATTGTTGTTTTACCCAGTATGTGTTTGTAGAAGGAGCGGGTGAAGTAGATGTTGACCAACTGCCGGTGGTACAGAGCCAGACCTAAAATCTGACCCGCAAACTGGAAGTAGTTCAGATGGTCCGGATTTACTGAGGAGTTGCTGTTTGGCTGGAAGGTTGTTCCTAGGCAAAAAAAAAAAAAAATGTCTAAATTAGCTTTTTTATGTATGACAGAAACCAGCTGATGCTCCAACAGCAAGAAGCTTTCCATATACCATCAGCTGACTGGGTGAACAGAGCATAATCTGGGTTGATGATCTCATTGGACAGGATGTCGAACCATTCCCGAACCACTCCCTGGCCCTGGAACAGAAAGACACGAGCAACACCAGCTTAATTCCAAAAAAGGTTAAAAAAACAATCCACTGGAGTTTGTTTCCAAGTTTGAAGACATTTTGCTTTGCTTAATGTTCTTGTTCCTCCTCCTTTGCTCCTGCATCAGCTATTAGCTGCAGAAGAAGTTGAGGTATTATTTCGGCTTTAAAAAACGTTAATGAGATATTCCAATCAATCAACTTCCTATTGTTATACCTCATAACAAGTTTTCAAAAAGGGGCAAAAAATATCAGTAAAAATCATTCCAGTTTCACAGCATTTAACACTAGAAGCAAAAAACATTAGAAAAAGAAACTCTGATGGACAAATTAAGTAAAATTCTCTTATAAAGAATATTATTAAGGAGAGAGACTTGTTAACAACACTTATTCAAGTAGATTTATTTAAGAATAAAAGAGGTTTCTTCCTTATAAGGTAAAGAAATATTCACGCAGCTGTCCGATGAAACAACACGACTTCAATGGTTCTGACATTCATCACTTCTTAAAACAGCATGATAGCCATGACTAATGGCTGAGCAGACCATTCATTTAGGATTCACCAGGCTTATTTTCCTCCAACTATCAAATGTCTGTGAATTTAAATATACTCACCATTCCTTCTTCACCATGGAAGCGAACTGCTATGCCCTGTTTGAGCTTTTCATTGGTGGACTTGGAAACCATCTCACAGCTGCTCCTGAATATGGAGTCTGTGTTTGGAACACAGGAGAAGCATAAGGTTGGCCTTTAATAGAGAGCCTGGAGAAGCACCCATAGATACCGTGTAGTCAAAGATTTCACATCCTGCTCTATGAGGATTTTCGCATTGCAAAGCGAAATTCAATGAAATAAGTGTTTTTGCACTTGACATTAGTTGAAAGGTAAAGTGATCTGCAAGTGGAATATAGTGGAAGGGTTGAGAAAAAAAAATTGCATTGTTATATTTCAATTGCAGTATGTATAATAATCTTATTCAAAGGGCCAAAACACTAATCCTATTTATTTATTTAGCAGCTTCTAATGTGAATGTCCGTCTTATGTGTCATTATTGATGCAGCTCAATGAAATCCAAGGTCTGCATGTATTCTAGTATATATATATATACTAGATATGTATATATATATATATATATATATATATTATGTTTGAATTAAAGCTAAACACATAAATATAGTATATATATTAGTTGAATTTGATTTATAGTCAAACTTGATTTCAATAAGGCAATAAATGCTGGTGATCTAGTGATGAATGAGATTTACTATTGAAATCCTGAGCTTTGCAATAAGTTAACCATGGCTGTAAAAGACATTTGCATAAGGAGCATTTGGACATAGATGATGGCGGTGGGATGGTTGTGCAGATTCTGGGTACCTCTGTGGATGAGAAGGATGTCGCTCTCGTTAACAGGACGATGAACCATGTCTGAGTCCGGCTGGCCAGCCAGCAGATGCTCGTAAAACCACTCACAGCGATCCTTAAAAGGCTGGAGGGAACAACAAAGACTTCACTTTAACGAAGGCCGCGCTGCACTTTTCCAAGCTAATTACCACGCTGCTGCGCCGTCAACTTTCAGGCTGAGGATATTTCAGTGCTGGTGGGTCGAAGAGGCTTTGGAGGTGAAACACTCATCTCTAATACAGAGATGAGGATTGAGTCTATTTGCATAATACATGCCTCTGTGCCCCAAGCCTTAGAGGTAGACTGAAGGATGAGCACGAGAGAAAAAGACAAAGGCTTCTCCCTCAGGGCTGTGGGGCAAACTGGAAACGAATCAGCAGATGAAATCAAATTCAGCAGGTTAAAGTCTGTAATTAAAACAAGGGCCTACTCCCAACTGAGCTATAATCCATGGGTAACGAGGCACAAATACTACGGCTCATATATAAATACTGAAGAGAGAGAAACTCAGAGCAGCACTTAAAATGCATGAATCAATATAAATTTAACTTAAGACAAGTGTTACCACCATAGATGTAATACTGTTAAATCATGCTGAAGTGAAGACAGGAGACTTTCAAACTCATTTCTCATAAAGTAGTTAAGAAATAGGGAACACATAAAGACAAAGCTGAGTGCATCTGATGCCTAAACTGATGGACAAATGAAGAATCTCTGCCTTAATGTCTGAAATGCTACTGAATGAGATTTTGAGCAGATTTCTGAAGATCCCAAATTCATTAGAACACATTCAGTCCAAGGAAAAATCTAGAAACGTAGAAACTCTAACATGTGGAGGTTTAACCATCAGGCAATACTAGGCAGTTACCTAGGGCCCAAAGTTCCTGGGGGCCCCATAAAATTCTGTTTCCATGTATGGTTAATACAACTATTCCTTATTTGTGCACATTAATTATGTTTTTGATAAAAAATCCTTTCACCCCCCCTTCAGTGTCCACCATATTGGATCAGTCCATTTGTTGCACATGTTCAGAAAGGTCCAAACAGACAGCAGCAAACCATTTGAAAACAAACCATGCAAAGAGCAGTGTTGCCAACTTAGCGCTTTAGTCGCTATATTTAGCCACTTTTCAGACCCCTCTAGCACTTTGATTTCTAAAAAGCTCCTAGCGCCAAATCTAGAGACTTTTTTCTGCTACTGGAGACTTTGGAGACAACATCTAAAAGCAGCGAACTCTGCTCTCCAGAGCGAGTAGATTGGTAACCCTGCCTCCTGCTCTCCTCTATCTTGTCTGCTGTCATGATTCATGCAGCTATTATTTCATCCAAATGAAAAATGGAGAACAGATAAGCAGATCATGGCTTGTCTACAGTGAAAAGAAGGACTGGGTTATTTACTTTGGCCTTTTTGGAAACACAGGAAGGAGCAATCAGCTAAGTGAGCTTAGTGCTTGGAAAAAATCTTTCATTCCTTTAGAGACAGCATGAAAAGTCAGCTGAGTACAAAACATAGAGAGGAAAACAAGAAGAAAAGGGACAAGAAGAGAGGGACACAACCTAGAACAGATAATGGATGTCTATTCTATTAACATTTCTCTATCTGGAGAATGGGGCTGTTTGATGTGTTTTCCTCTCAGTTCAGAGGGCCCCCTGCCTGTCTTTGCCTAGGGTCCCAAATTTCCTAACTCTGCCCCTGGTTTAACCAATCTAATGGCTTCTGGTGATAAAAAGTGTCCTAGGGGGTCTCATGCCTCAGGAGCGGTCTCAGGGTTGGTTTAAATCAAAAAGGACAGACAACAATCTGCAGAGGGAAATGGTTAAAGAACTGCATTTCTAAAGAAGTACAATCATACACAGACTGGGGAGGGGCGGCCTAGTGGTTCGGGCATAGAGCTTCGATTCCTGAGGTTCTGAGTTTGAGCCCCAAAGTTGGAATCAAACTCACAACCTTGTAATATTTAGGAATCTACTGTTACCCCCAATGAGCTACAGCTGCTCCATGTTGAACTCATGTTGTCATCAAGGTTTTGGGGGCATTCCTGTATCATAATGTAATTGAGTTTTGATGTATGGCTTTTAAAGTATTTTCAATAAGAGGTTAAAGAACGTTCTGGAGTGATTGGGCTTCTCTCACTGTGTAGAACAGTATTAGTTTCAGGATGATTGCATCAACTCCTTGAAGCCCGTGTGCTAAAGCAAAAACTGCTTGGCTGGAGGAGTGCCAAATGACCGGCTTCATATGGCGATGGAACATCTCAAGCCTGTAACATCGGAAGCTAAAATAATGTCAACTTCTTTTGCACAGCACAAAAACCAATCAGTGAAGGTTTCACTCAAACAATTGCATCATGGAGAAAAATCCTCATTTTATCTGTGTCCGACTTCCCAAAATATTATTTCAGTTAACTCTAGTAAAATCTTCTGACTCCTCATCCTTGGTGCGTCGTCCATGAAGAACTGCTTTAAAATGTCAAAATGTCTCAGATTTTATGATCAATCAAATTTCTTGAACACACCTTAGTGAGTGATTTGCCAGAGATAGGGACTCAAGTTTGGGACTCGGACTGGAGTCGCATTTAAGTTGCATATTTAAAGGAAAAGTCGCTCATATTCAGAATCCAAACTTCTGAAAGTTCTTTAAATGTGAAATGATTCCATCCTGTTCAATAAATGATCAGTGTTTTTAATTCAGAGTCATTTTCATGTGAATGTGCTTTACTGGAGGCATCCATGTTTGTCAAAGAACACTACTGCCACCTACTGGTTAGTGACATTGTCACGGTGCGGTATCGGCTGTTGATCAAGTCCCAGTGCTGTATCTGGTGTTTGTCACAACGCGCTATTATCCAAGTCATCTTGAAAACATTCTTCTTCCAAATGTTGGCTACATATTACGGGTTTTTTCTCTGGCCAGAAGTTCGATGGCAAATCCTCCCTCTTCAAGTTGGCGATCCAACGACCAACCCGTCCGTGGAGGATCAGGAATCAGAAAGGTGGAATAACTCTTTCTTTCACTTTTCCCCGATGTATTCCAGCATCCAGCTGCCATGCACGTGGGCATTGTCAGTTTCACTATAGCTCTGGTGAATTTCAATGGTGAAGTCCTCTGGAAATCTTCAATAATTGTTGTTGATTGCAGATGTGTCTAGTAGTTCCCATTGATTTAGCTTGGAAAGCGGTTAAATCACAGCGAATGTTTTAGTTTTTGGTATAGATAATGATCCATTGATTATTCCTTTCTGACCAACTTTTCTTTTAATTACTTCAGACTTGAATTCTTGTTTTCAGACTTTTATTTCTAAATGTTTTTTTTTTTGTTTTTTTTACTACTTTGACTGTCAAATTAAACAGTCACTGTCGAAGCTCCACCTTGTGTCCAAGTATTGAAATGAAACAAATAAATGTACAGATGGCATCACTGTAACTAAAATGACCTGTAATGGAGCAAAGCACAACTACAGGTGCTAGGCTTCAGGTACTTAGAGATTCACTTCCAAACAGAAACCCCACATTCATATCTTCAGGTAACACAGAGTACATGTCAGACTTAATAATATTACTTTAGCGATAGTTTCAAGGTGTTTGCTTTATTGTATGTCTCGTACCGTGTCTTTTGGTTGTGCTGTTCTTTTTTCATCTCGTTGCAGGTGATGAAGCAGACTGGAAATGTTTGGTCATTGTCTCCTTTCTATCTCTTCTTTCTTTCATCTTTTCTCTTTCTTTTTTCCTTTTCTTCTTCTGTTTTTCTGCTCTATTTACATTGCAGTGTCCATATAAACTGTAAAACTCCCTGCATAATTATAATAAAGCAATTTATATGCATGAAACAAGTGGAGCAGTATGGCAATTGCCATACTGCTCCACTTGTGAAAGTAAAATCTGTTGGGCTCCTTTTGGCATCAAGACAATTATTCTTATTGCCACATTGCCAGACAGGACACTGTAAAAAAAAAAAAAAAAAAAAAACCTACAATGACCAACTGTTAGCAGCAGCAGTAGGAATAATTGTTTCCTCCTTTTTAGAAATGTGATAAAAATCACATAAATGTTTATCTTTTTTTAATCGATTTTGTATAACTTTAGGCTAGGCTAGGTAATACCACGAAAGCCTCATTCTCAGTTTGGCACAATTTTATGACAATTGGGAATTTCTTTAAAAATAAAAAACTGACTAAAAGTTTACAAAATGTGTACAAACTTGCAGATGTATAGTATTATGAGATGATGTGTTATGTTTTGTACCTGGTTCTTTATAATGTGCATAAAACGTGACATCAATTCTGGACACTCAAGCAGAAAATGGAAATGATTAAAGATGATCTTTGGATTCCTGGAGAGAGAAGACAGTGAAAGAGACAACAGTGGAAACAAATTAGGACAAAAAAAGCAGAGTGATCGATATTTCATCTCTAATGCGATGTGGGCCTGATGAACAGCCAAGGGACATATTGACTCACCTGGTTACAAAACATTTCAGCACCTCGTCGTGCTTGCAGAGAAACTCTATAAAGCGAGGGGAGGTCATTCTGAATAGGCAAAGACAGCAATGAGAGCAATATGACAATTATTACTTGTGCAGAAACTAAAAGTGTTTCTAAGCTAAAAAAATTAAATAAAAACAAGAGTGAAAACATAGACTGATTAGGATTAAATCCACATGTTTCAGTCAGCAACTGAATTGTTGATTCTAACAGTGTTGTTGTAGATGGTGGTACTTTGATGATATGCTGCTACCACAAGATGGTGCTAATGAGCTGAAGAAAAGAAAAGAAAGGAAGGAAGGAAGGAAGGAAGGAAGGAAGGAAGGAAGGAAGGAAGGAAGGAAGGAAGGAAGGAAGGAAGGAAGGAAGGAAGGAAGGAAGGAAGGAAGGAAGGAAGGAACCAGGATGCAGAGCACTGACCCTTGTGGCATCTGACACGAGCAGCACATATAGAAGGCCTGGATCACAGCACTGAGCCTGTTTGCCGTCATGGAGATCACATCCTCCCCGTCAACACAGACCTCTGCCTCCATGACAATCTGCTGTTCGAGCCCAGAGAGCTTCGGCGCGGTGCCGTAGTTCTCTGGGTCTCGCTGCTTCCGCAGAAGGGAGGCTATCTCACTGCTAGAGGAGGAGGAGGAAGGATTCTCCCTGGTTCTTTCAAGCTCTGTAGAGATGAGCATCAGCCACTCGTCCAGTGAGTGCCAAAGCAGCTCCAGGGGCTACAGAGACACAGACATTAAGAAAGACCAATGTAGGAACAAAAATAATGTCATCTATCAGACTATGCAGAGATTATGCAGGAACATTTGCTCGACTATAAATAGAGACATAAACCTTTGCTCGTCTGATTTTCTTTTTTAAGTGATGTAGAAAGTGCTGTTTGTGCATTAAAAGACGTAACTGCTGCCTATTTATTAAAATTAGGAGCTATTTTTGGAGAGCCGTCACCTGAGCCAATAGAAACATGTTAACAGCAACTGCAGTTTAGTCTATTGAATGATGCATATTCGAGAAAGAATTCATGGCTAACAATTCAAGAATCAAGTCATAAATAGCTTCCAACAAAGTGCTTTAAAATATTGAAATCTAGTGGATTCTTTTCTCACGTGGGTCATTTTACACAAACCTCAAAAACTGATGTAATGAAAACCTTTTATCTCTGGATTATTTAACAATAAACATAAAAAGGTCCATATCTATTCAAAAATGTGTCCATTTGACCATTTTTCTCTGGCACGTATTCAGTCACACCACAGCACTGAGATCAGAACGATAAAGATTTGAAACTATAAAGTTCATAATGCATTTTAAGCTACATTCACACTGCAGGCCTTGAGGCACATTTCCGATTTTTTTACGTGGTCGTTCACATAGCTGAATCTATGCGACTTGTATGTGATCTCCTGTGTGAACTGCATTCACACAACTGAAGTGCCCTGCATCCGCAGTAGAGGTCGCAATGACGTCACAAGCGAGTGTGCTCTGTGTTTACGGAAGTAAACATGGAAGATCGTGCTGGAGCGCGTCTAGCAGTCCTTAGTTTCTTTCCCGACCTTCGCAGGTGCATTATCAATAAAATCTTGAAAATAAAGACTGCTCTCCGCATCATCGTCCGCCATGGTTGTTGCTTTTCTTCCCGCTTCTGTGTAGCAAGAAGCAGAATATTGAGTATTAATTGCGATCGGGTCGATGACTGCGACCTGGCCATTCAGACACAGGTGGCATCTAAAAAGATCAGATTCATATCAGTTTCAGGACCACATAGCCAAGTGGCCTGGGTCGCATGGGAACAAAAATCAGATCTGTTGTTCAGACTGTCCATGAAGAGATCAGATCCAGGTCGCATATGGGTGAAAAAAATCGGATTCGGGCCACTTCAGGCTGCAGTGTGAACGTAGTCTTAGACTTCTGTCTAGTGCCCTGTAAACTGTTCTTGTAGGGATGGGCTGGATCAGATCCTTACTGTTCGATTGGTTCTTGCTGTAAAGAAATAACTTTACACCAAAACAACAACCGAGACCTCTGCCCTGTTTGACTGCTGTCAGAATCTAAGTAGATGAGGAGCACCTGGACAGCTCATTGAAGACCCTAGGATAGGGATGGGGATCGTTAATATTTATTGATATCGATACCTTTATCGATACTCCTTATCGATCCGAGTCTTTATCGATACCACTATCGATACTTTTCTGTTATTTGGTGGAAAGACGATGCGACAATATGTTTTTAACAGACAGAAAGGAAGGCGGAAAAAAATTTATTTGAAGAAATGTCTTCTTTTGGTTTAAAAAATATATATAAATTTTCACAATTGTTGCTTAATGTATTGTCTACTGTCACTTTTCATCATGTTTTTAGTGATTAGGAAAATATTTAGCAAATAAATAATTGTATTTTAAAGTAAATGTAATTTTTAATAAATGTTGGCATCAGTAGTTTAATTATATATTCTAAAATAATTAGAGCAATATACAACTGTATTACTCATGTTTCTCGCCAAAATCTCAATTTCCCTTTTCTTTACGTTACACTTGAATGCATCATGATAACCTAATTGTCGTTTTACTGAGCCAATCTGAACACATCATGACGCAGCACGTCTGAAACTTTATTTACTTTTCAAGCTAACTAGCTTGTATGCTGCCGATTACAAGACGGATTTCACAATTACTATTTTTAACTGACCGGACAAGCTACAAAGTCTGTGTGCGCTTACCAGTGGTTCTCTGAGTGGATGATTAAGACGGGCCCGGCTGTGGTGCGGCGGCAGCAGCAGGAGTAGGAGGAGTCTTTTCAACCCGGAGACAGTGGAAGGTACTGCATTTGGCCTTTATTTGATGCACAATATTAATGTGCTTGGCCATTGAGGTTGTGTTCCCCCCTTTAAAAGAGATGATTTTGCAACATAAGTTGCATTTCACTTCTTCTTTATCTTTGAGCTTGGTAAAATGAAGCCAAACTTTAGACCTTTTCGTCCGTTCATTCATCCTCGAGTCGCGAGCCAAGTTAAGTGCCAGACTTCACTTGTTTTACTTTTAATGTCTGTTTGCTTACAATTTCATTCCAAAACATTGGTGGACATGCTGCAGTGATCGGATTGATTAGATTTAAATGCTGTGACGCGACTCGAGGGACACACAATTATGTTGTGTGTCCCTGTTATGTATTAGGACCTCCAGGAGAAAAAAAAAAACGACCAGACTCGATAGTGGTATCGATAAGCCCAAACGTTATTGATTTTCGGGTTTTGAAAAAAGTGGAACCGGGTCCTTGATAGAACCGGGTTTCGATCCCCATCCCTACCCTAGGATATCTAAGAATAATGCTGCGTTCACACCGGGGGCAGCTGGCGCGACAGAAGCAGCGAGTTTACATGCAAAGTCAATGGTTGACGCGCGTCAAGGCGCAGCAAAAGGTCCCGCGGCGCATTTTGAGCAGCAGGCGCAGCGCGTCTGAGCAGCTGAAGCAGCGCGTCGGGCGCATTTAAGCATCTGACGCAAACGCGTTGCTGCTCGAGATGGAAAAATTGAATTTTTGCTGCTCGACGCGCCGCGTCAACCAATCAGAGAAGCTGATCTGGGAGCTGGCAGGGAGAGAGACACAGCGCTGATGACACAGACCGCTCTGATTACTCCTCTTAAACAGTTTATTAATGCATAATTAACTTAAAATATATACATCTGCCGGCAGAATATGTTCGCTTTTATTATCCTGGTGCCTGCAGATCGGATTATTCAGATGAAAAACACCTACCAGCCGCCGCGGTAAACCGCGATGAGGCGACCCGCCAGAGGCTGCTGATGAATGGATTCCTTCTGTCGGCGCACCGCAGGTATGTGGGGGTCTGAGCGGCTCTGACAGAAATAATATTGGGAGGCAGGATTGTAATCTGGATGAACTGACTCCACTGATGAAGTTTTCAGGTGTATTTTCTCACTTAAAAACATATTAAAACTACTTTATTCCCACTGATCACAGCAAATATAGCTGCAAGGCAGAGAAAGGATAGTGAAGCTCCGCCCAACGCGCGTCAGAGCCACTTTTGGACCGCGCAGGCAGAGCAGCAAAGCTGCTTCAGCCGCGCGTCAGAACTAACTGGTACAAGCAGCAAAAATGAAGCAGCAGACGCCATTTTGCTGCTTTTGCAGCGTCCGGTGTGAACGTAGCATAAGAGCTAGAGCATATGCTAAGGTGCGCTATTGATACCTATTGCTATCTAATATGAGTGCAAAATAATTCATTATGTGATGATGATACTTATTAAAAATGCTATGATTTATGAAGCTGTCCCCTGTTAGGACAGTTCCTATCTTCAGATATACAGTTATCATCTTCATTCTGCATGTGGCAAAGAATTGGGAATGGAATGAGAGCGGTGTCCTTCAGCTAAGAACAAACTTTAATACAGTAGTAGCCATTTAAAACTTCCCCACTTTTCTTGATGGACCCTTGGCTGATCCCCTAAGATTCCTTTTCTAAACATCAATCTTTGCACTAAATTGTTCTGTCATGATTAGTGGACATTAAGATCTAAAGGGAAGCGTTGGATGGGATTTCGCTGGGAACTGCAGGGAAGTGGGCTGCCATTCGGCTGGCGTTTGACTGGGAACGGACATTCTGATTGGCTGCTACTGTATGATGTAATGATGTGATGATGTGGCAGACTGGTTGTATAAAATGCTTCTTTAACAGTGAATCGTGGCAGCTTCTCGAGATGTGAGCCCGGTTGGTAAGCAGCTGCCTTCTTTAACCCTAAGCAACTTCTCTGATCTGAGAAAAGATTATAATTTCTATCAAAATCTGTTGTCATGTCTCCTGGTTATTTAATATATTTCTATTATGACGTATTATTTAAATAGATTGTCCCCAGTGATCTCTTTTCAGGAAAAACAACCAGAGAGGAAACGTTTCAAGAGCTTCAGAGCTTTCCATTAACACCCTGAACCGAAGCAAAGAAAAGTTGGAAAAGTTAGTCACCCCATCATTCTCTGATTGGTAAAAAAGAAATTTTTTTACAGAAACTTAGTTCTTATATTCTGATTGAGTAACTAGAAAAGAAGAAAGGATAGTCTGGAACTGTGCAAAACTGACTCAGTTATTTTATGAAAGAATATAAACACTCTACTACTCCGTCTACTTGCTTTGTTATTCAAAAAATACACAAATATGAACAAATATAACAGCATATAAAATCTATAATCTTATGACAGTTACTGGCTTACACTGTGACCACAGTCAACTACAGTAACTGTACGGGTTTTCTAAAGTATCCGTGAGTATCGTGTTTGCTAAGTTAGGTTCACACAAGTCCAGTCCTGAAAAAAAGAAGATAGACGCCTCATCCTGATGAGCAGCAGCTCAAACTGGCCACAGCACAGCTCTGCAGGACCCAAGAGACGAAACATTCAGGGCCAGCCCTCACAAGATTCCAGGAAAGGTGTTAAACCCATGCGTTGGTGTTTTTACAGACATCTTTAACATTTTACTGGGACGTACAGCACTCAGTTGCTGGTAAAACCCATCTATAACACCCTGTCAGCTGTTCCCTTTGCTCTACAATTGCTTTGCAATCCACCTGAGGACATATAAAGTACACCTGGAATTAAATAACGATAAAGTAAAACAAATACATCTAAAACCAGGGGCCGGCTGGCCATAGAAAGATTTGCTGGGATATCCTGGATGGTGGCCATGTTGTTTTTATCCCCTAAACCTCAGCTGACTAGAACAGAATTGAGCTTCTAAAGGTTGCTTTACATTGGAGTAGCTCTACTAGCTTGACTCCGACATTATTTTTTGCAAGAAGTTTAGTTTCTCCGTTTGTGGATTCCAATTTCTTTTTTTCTGATGTTTTTTGCTTCTGGTGTTAAATGCTTTGGGACCGAAAATTCTCTTAAACTGATAGTTTTTTTCCTTTTCAGATACTTCGTAAGGCTGGTAATGCTCAGAAACGAGGTCGTCTGCGTGTGTTGCATTGAACTCAGATATGCCCCGCCCCCTTCGCAGACACTCTGGGCACCTCTCCAAAATTGTAGATGACCGCAGACAGAACGCCTCTGACTGGTCAAATCAACATCCGCTCTACATTATGTGTATTTCCTGTTTGCTACCTTAATGGCTTGTTTTGTTTACATGACCACCATTGTGGAAAATGACTCGTGAAGATGAACCAGCGAGAAGAGTGAGGTGCGTGAGAACGCCAGGACCCTTTTTCCACCTTGATCCCGGCTCTTTTTCTGTTATGCATCTGGTGTATTTACTGCTTCACTCTGTGCTACACTGCTAGCGCTCCAATAGTTTGTCAGCTGCTGCTACCGGAGAAAACAAAACTTTGGAATTGTTTTATGCAAATGTCAAGGAATTTTTGTAGTAAGATCTCTTCTTCAGATCAAAACACTGTTTTTCTCAGTTGAGACTTTAAACGGGACAACTTGCATTTAAAAAGAAGCGTAAGAAGAGGGTCACAGGAAGCTGTACAAGAAAGGACTTTGATGCAATTACTGAGTGTGTGACTGACTACATACTGTTGTAAAAACCTTCTGTTGTAGGTTGTTGACAACTGCTCTCAAAAACCTACAATGCAGCGGCCAATAATCACCTCAATGACTCCCATTATTAAGGGGTGGAGATGGTTTACCAGCTTTAATTTGCATGTTTTCTAAGCCTTTACAAGGCTTTTGTTGGGCTACTCTAAAAACGCCTGAAACGCTAATCCAGAGATTTTGAATTGAGAAAGCTTCCTGGATGGCCAGAGAAACATCTTCAAACTTTGAAAACAATATCCAGTTGTTTGTTTTTTAACTTTAAATTTTTAGAATGACTATGACCTGGACAATTGAGAATCTCCACCAGCAAGTCCAGCTCTGTTCTAGGAACTCCTCTAAAACCTCTGGGGACTATTTCCCAATGAACAGTTCTTCATAAAGTAACGAACATCATGGAAACGGTGAGAATCCTCTACAGGAGATTTTAAACAACAACAGAGTGTCTTCAGTCAGAGGCTTCCCCAGACCAGGAGCAAGACAGACCACTACATACGGTCCTTACAGCCTACAGCTATCAACACCTAACCTGACTCCGCCAGATGGATTTGCTCCACATTTTGGGAAGGGGCGAAAATACTGGTTAGCTGATCGGCCTATGTTGGTGATAGACGGGCCAAATAAACCAATCAGATCAACGAAGCATATGACGTACTAACAGAGCGACGAAGAGGAGCCAATTGATAGATCAAACTCTTGCCGAAACCAGTCGGGAGAAGAGCAAAAACATATTTTCCTCTGAGAAAAGCCTCCAGAGCAGTGTTTTGCTCTTCTTTCAGTGAAGAAATACTCTGTAATTCCGATAAAACTTGCTCGATAGCCACGCTAACGCTAGTTTCATCGGCTGAAGCCGCCATGTTCTTTAGACTGAACTGTCGCGCTTCTCGTTGCGTCACACCTCAACCCGCCTCAAAGCCAACGCTGATTGGACGTTCGTTTGGTGAACGGCTCCAAACTTTCTTTAACAGAGAGTCTCCAGACTGATCTGCGAGTGAAACCTTGACAACTCGCGAAATCAGGATGGTCTCACGAGGCTAATCAACACCTACCTTAGAAAAAACAAAAAAAACTAAGAGGTACTGCAGTATTTAATAAATCTTTGGGATTAATAAAGTATTTTTGAAATTAATTCAACTGAATTTAAGAGACTTGATCAATCTGATATTTTACACATTAAGAGGAGCTTTAAATGACTCCTCCAAATATGAAACATGAAAAATGGGAAATAAACAAATTTCTTTTAAATTGGCAACAATTCTTAAAGTTTATATCTTTTATAAACTGAAAGATGACAGTATAAAGAAAGTTGAGAAAAGATGCAGCCAGTATGCAAAAATAACCAAATTCCTTTTTTGGAGAAAGCAAAGGCCCGTGTAACGAGAGTCGGTCGGTAAGGGACCCCATCAGACCCACAGCAAGACGACGCAGGTCATAGGAGGAGCAATGAGGAAGAATAGGAGAAGGAAGAGAAGAGGAGGAGAAGGAGAAGAGAGGAGCAAGAACCACCAGCAAACAGTGCCTGGTAGGGATCCAGTGTGCTCGGCTGGCTTTGTCTTTACATAATACTAGATTACACCTCTTGAGGTGATAATGATTCATTTTATATCTGTCGTATTTTTCAGGATGTTTAAACGAATAACTAGAAAAAAATGTTTATAAAAAGTTTGTAAAGTATTAATTTAAAATGTGGGGTTCATTCATATCTGTTGTGTGATTAGATATAAGGCCTCTCCAACGTAAGCTACCAAGCTGAATTTTAAGCAGAGCCCACCCACCGCTGTCCTTCGTCTCTAAACAATCAATTTTATGTTGTGAGGAACAAAACTTTCCACATACCAAGTTTTCAGCCCACTGCAAGTTCTGCTCCAAGACCAACGGCTTGAAAACCTGAGGTGCAGAAATCTGGCTACATTAAATCAGGACTGGAAACATCACCATCTACTGCAGCTTACCCACACAGAAAAACAGGACTTTATCAGCTGGAACTTATGTACCTCAACTTCTTAACATTTCTTTTTTGGGTGGTTGTGTTTCATGTTTGAGGCTGCAGTGTTAATTTTTCCATCTTCTGGATGCATCGGGTGCTTTTCATTCTCACTCCAATTATCTGTTATTCCTGTGCAGCACTTTAATTAACCCATCAATTAATCATCATCTTCATTCCCAAAGGAGTCAATTGGCGTGCAGCACAGCTGATATACAGGTGCTGGTCATAAAATTAGAATATCATGAAAAAGTAGATTGATTTCAGTAATTCCATTTAAAAAGTGAAACTTGTATATTATATTCATACATTACATACAAACTCATATATTTCAGATGTTTATTTTGTTTAATTTTGATGATTACAAATGACAACAAATGAAAATCTCAAATTCATCATATCAGAAAATTAGAATATTGTGAAAAGGTTCAAAATTGATGGCCCCTGGTGCCACACTCTAATCAGCTATTTAACTCAAACCACCTGCAAAAGCCTTTAAATGGTCTTTCAGTCTAGTTCTATAGGCTACACAATCATGGGGAAGACTGCTGACTTGACAGTTGTCCAAAAGACGACCATCGACACCTTGCACAAGGAGGGCAAGACACAAAAGGTCATCGCTAAAGAGGCTGGCTGTTCACAGAGCTCAGTGTCCAAGCACATTAATAGAGAGGCGAAGGGAAGGAAAAGATGTGGTCGAAAAAAGTGTACAAGCAGGAGAGATAACCGCACCCTGGAGAGGATTGTGAAACAAAACCCCTTCAAAAATGTGGGGGAGATTCACAAAGAGTGGACTGCAGCTGGAGTGAGTGCTTCAAGAACCACCACACACAGACGTATGAAAGACATGGGTTTCTGCTGTCGCATTCCTTGTGTCAAGCCACTCTTGAACCACAGACAGCGTCAGAAGCGTCTAAAGAGAAACAGGACTGGACTGCTGGTGAGTGGACCAAAGTCATGTTCTCTGATGAAAGTAAATTTTGCATTTCCTTTGGAAATCAAGGTCCCAGAGTCTGGAGGAAAAGAAGAGAGGCACTTCATCCACGTTGCTTGAAGTCCAGTGTAAAGTTTCCACAGTCAGTGATGGTTTGGGGTGCCATGTCATCTGCTGGTGTTGGTCCATTGTGTTTTCTGAGGTCCAGGGTCAACGCAGCCACATACCAGGAAGTTTTAGAGCACTTCATGCTTCCTGCAGCTGACCAACTTTTTGGAGATGCAGATTTCATTTTCCAACAGGACTTGGCACCTGCACACAGTGCCAAAGCTACCAGTACCTGGTTGAAGGACCATGGTATCCCTGTTCTTAATTGGCCAGCAAACTCTCCTGACCTTAACCCCAAAGAAAATCTATGGGGTATTGTGAAGAAGAAGATGCAATACACCAGACCCAACAATTCAGAAGAGCTAAAAGCCACTATTAGAGCAACCTGGGCTATCATAACACCTGAGCAGTGCCACAGACTGATCGACTCCATGCCACGCCGCATTGCTGCAGTAATACAGGCCAAAGGAGGCCCAACTAAATACTGAGTGCTGTACATGCTCATACTTTTCATGTTCATACTTTTCAGTTGGCCAACATTTCTATAAATCCTTTGTTTTTATTGGTCTTCAGTAATATTCTAATTTTCTGATATGATGAATTTGAGATTTTCATTTGTTGTCATTTGTAATCATCAAAATTAAACAAAATAAACATCTGAAATATATGAGTTTGTATGTAATGTATGAATATAATATACAAGTTTCACTTTTTAAATGGAATTACTGAAATCAATCTACTTTTTCATGATATTCTAATTTTATGACCAGCACCTGTAAAACTCACTCAGGCAGACATAACGCCAAACCAAGATGGATGACCCATCTTTAAATTCGTTTTATTTCAAAAGATCATCAAGAGATTTTATAACTGTGGGTAAATGTGCAACACAAATATAGTAACTAAACTAAAGGCATTTGTTTCCATTTTAAAAGCTTTAGACAATCATTATGAATTAACCCCTTAAGCCCGGCGGGCCTGCTACCGGGCCCATTTTTAAAAATGGCCAAAACACAGTCACGTGGTGTTTCTTCCACACGGCTTTCAAATGGGGCTTTAAAATGTCTAAAATATGTTTAAAAATATTTTTAACAAATACTTGTTTTAAAGCTGTGTAAACAAATAAAATTAGATTTAAAATTCCACCTGAAATATGTGACTCTGCAGGAGTAATGCAACAACAGGTATTCATTTTTAGCCACACCCCCTAATGCGGGCTCATCATTGGAAACTAGAGGCTCAGGCCCCGTCCACACGAAGCCAAACCCTGGCCTAAACGCACAAATTTTTCACCAAACCAGCCTCTCATCCACACGAAGCCGGCGTTTCGGGGGTCTGTAAACAATCTTTTTTTTTATTAAGCCTTCAGAGTGGGAAGATTCTGAAACGCCGTTTTCGCGTTTCCATCTTTAAGCTCTAACCGCATTTTTTTTCTTACACGCATGCGTCATAGCGTCGCCTCTAAACACGCATGCGCGACACAGTATCACAACAACAATGGCGCCGTACTGTGTTGAATGGTTGCTGCTCATGCTACTCACCCTGCTGTCGGGCTTACAACAGAATCTTCTTCTTCTGGAATATCTCCAGGAAGAACAGAGCAATATCGACCACATAGTTCAGCACCTGAATTTGACTGAACCACCAAAATGGACCCGCAGGGCAACCATGTATAAATATTAGTGCGCATGCCCAACATTTCGCTGCCTGTTTTCGCCTATTTTTGCTTTGGCACTTTGGCACCACAGCGCCACTTACAGGCCTGGCATACATTTTGCAGCGTTTTCATGCATTCGTGTGGACGATCACATTTATTTTACGTCTCCGTCTTTACGACAAACGTTCTGGAAAATATTAGCGTTTCGTGTTCGTTTTGACTTCGTGTGGACGGCGCCTCAGACCTTTCCAAGGAGGGGTCAGAGGTCATTGTGCGACCATTTCTGGTGATGTAACCGGCATGCGTTACATAAGCTGCTCTGTTATTCTTATTTTCTATTCAGTTTGGTGATTTTATTGGTAAATTAAACGACAGCTAAATCTGAGGAGCAAAGGCTTTTCCTGATGCAGAAGGTCTCAAATAATGTAAATCAGCATATTTGTCTGACCAGATTTTCTTTTATAAGGGCAATTTTTGGCACTTTTGGCATTGTGCCAAAGTCCCATTTCCGCCTAGCACACTGCCCACTAAAATCTAAATAGTTTTTAAAAATGATGAAATTTGACACTGCTACTACTAGCTATAAAACTAAAAAAATGAAGTCTAAGGAGATTATCATCCAGAATTGTAGAACTTCTTTCTTTAATAGGGTAGTGCAGTGAAGCTTCTGACCCATTACTTTTATACTTAAAGTAGTATACTCCAACTTCTACAAGTGCTTTTAAACAGTCAGATTTCTACTTTTACTTAAATAATAAACTTTAAAACTTTTGACACCTCTGAAAATATTGGGATTTTAGTAGATAGCCACAAAAATCTGACAAAAAAAACTCTATGAAAGCAGTTCATTGTGAGTGGGAGTGATAAAGACATGCTATGTAATTCTTTCAGTTTGAAACTACATAAGCTATTTATATAATGATAGATCCAGGTTTGTTTTATTCAGGAAAAGCCAGTCTCTTAAAATCAAGTAATTTAGAAGAAGGCAGATGTGAGAAGACCCATTTCCAGTTCACTGCATCAGCCTGATGTTTTGCTTAAATAGTAAATGCTTCATACATACGTAGCATATTTTAAATATTTAGTTTTTATTTTTAATACAGCCTGGTGTTAATGTTGCAACTATTAGGATTACAATGATTGACTATGGAGAAAGATTATTGCTTCCTTAAACACTGGCAACCTTTAACCTCCAAAGAGACGTTTGGAGCCACTTTCAATGGAAAAGGAAGCTGTAAATTCTTTCTGACATGTAAAATAAAGACAACTGTGATATTAAAAGGTTTTTTTTTCCTTTATACTTCGTATAAATAGCTGCACTGTTTGACTTTTGAAAATGTGCCGGCAAAATGTCGTTTTGTCTAGCAGCGAGGATGAAGGAACAACATGGCATGCAGCGCCTTCCAGAGGCTCTTAAAAAAGAGGCAGGCAGGTACATAAGCTGTTAAAAAAAGCTGCTGCTGATCAGACTGCCTTGTAGAGTGACTCCTAAATATTTATTATTTCAATTGCTTTAGATTATCACAGCAGTTAGATTCTCAATAAATTATTGAGCTTATAATTATGGTTGTAGTATTGAACCCAGAGCACTTAATTTGAAAATCTCTTAAGCCGACCCACAGTCGAACTGCAGGGCCTCTTGAGTTTCAGCCCATATATTTTTTTTTTTTTTTGGGGTGGAGTGAAAGGCCCGTTCAAATAATCGGGCCTGTGGAGAGTCGGCTCTACAGTCTCAGCTGTGGCATATTTTGAATTTTGTCAACATGGAGCAAAGCTTTTAATGTGAAAGTTCATTCCTGTGATGTAATTTCTTCAACTAGATCATATATGATAAAGTATTCACTACTACTTACTAACCTTAAAGACTTGGCTGCGAGGGGTCTTGTTTCCATTGTAGCCCATATCATTCCCATTATTGGGTGAAGAAGGCCCAAGGCGGAATACATGGCAGAAAATACGAACAATCCTCAGAAGACTTTTCATCTGAGCTTCATAACTACTGGACAGGCTGACAGAGGGATGAAAACAACAAACGTGAAGTTAGTGAAACATTTAAAAGAATATACTTACAACATAGCTGGAAAGATCATTTTGACATATGAAGGATGGATTCAATGGAAACGAGGGGTTTGTTCTTTTTTTGTCACTTATACACTATATTGCCAAAAGTATTTGCTCACCCATCCAAATTATTGGAATCAGGTGTTCCAATCACTTCCATGGCCACAGGTGTATAAATTCAAGCACCTAGGCATGCAGACTGTTTTTACAAACATTTGTGAAAGAATGGGTCGCTCTCAGGAGCTCAGTGAATTCCAGCGTGGAACTGTGATAGGATGCCACCTGTGCAACAAATCCAGTCGTGAAATTTCCTCCCTCCTAAATATTCCACAGTCAACTGTCAGCTGTATTATAAGAAAATGGAAGTGTTTGGGAACGACAGCAACTCAGCCACGAAGTGGTAGGCCACGTAAACTGACGGAGCGGGGTCAGCGGATGCTGACGTGCATAGTGCGAAGAGGTCGCCAACTTTCTGCAGAGTCAATCACTACAGACCTCCAAACTTCATGTGGCCTTCAGATTAGCTCAAGAACAGTGCGCAGAGAGCTTCATGGAATGGGTTTCCATGGTCGAGCAGCTGCATCCAAGCCATACATCACCAAGTGCAATGCAAAGCGTCGGATGCGGTGGTGTAAAGCACGCCGCCACTGGACTCTAGAGCAGTGGAGACGCGTTCTCTGGAGTGACGAATCGCGCTTCTCCATCTGGCAATCTGATGGACGGGTCTGGGTTTGGCGGTTGCCAGGAGAACGGTACTTGTCTGACTGCATTGTGCCAAGTGTAAAGTTTGGTGGAGGGGGGATTATGGTGTGGGGTTGTTTTTCAGGAGCTGGGCTTGGCCCCTTAGTTCCAGTGAAAGGAACTCTGAATGCTTCAGCATACCAAGACATTTTGGACAATTCCATGCTCCCAACTTTGTGGGAACAGTTTGGAGCTGGCCCCTTCCTCTTCCAACATGACTGTGCACCAGTGCACAAAGCAAGGTCCATAAAGACATGGATGACAGAGTCTGGTGTGGATGAACTTGACTGGCCTGCACAGAGTCCTGACCTCAACCCGATAGAACACCTTTGGGATGAATTAGAGCGGAGACTGAGAGCCAGGCCTTCTCGTCCAACATCAGTGTGCGACCTCACAAATGCGCTTCTGGAAGAATGGTCAAAAATTCCCATAAACACGCTCCTAAACCTTGTGGACAGCCTTCCCAGAAGAGTTGAAGCTGTTCTAGCTGCAAAGGGTGGACCGACGTCATATTGAACCCTATGGATTAGGAACGGGATGTCACTTAAGCTCATATGTGAGTCAAAGCAGGTGAGCAAATACTTTTGGCAATATAGTGTATTTTATGAGTCTTTTCAAGCATATACATGACATGGAATATAGAACAGAATAAGAAAAAAGAAAATACATTTTTTATTCTTTTGTCCCTTAGTGCTTCCTGTAGTCTTAGTCTATATGTTAACCTTTCCATTACAGGTATGCCTCCTATTGTTATCCATTGATCCTTCGTTGGCACCTCGATCTTCATCCATTTCCTCGTGATACACTTTTGAACTACTTTATCAAAGATTCATTATTTTATAAATTGTGCCGTCAGTGAGGTTACACAAATATAGCAGTTCAGGTTTAAATGGTACTTTTGCACTAAATCTTGATATTCAATAAGAGCTTATGAACATATTCCAGTATTGTACAAGTTTAGAACATTTCCAGAATATATGTTCTTTATTCTTTCCAACATGGTTGTTGCGACTTTAAACTGCTTGTTTTTGATATATTGTTTGATAGAAACTGATAAAGTTTTTCCATGAAAACTCCCTCCATGTATGTTTGTAGTAGCATGGTGATACTTACACATATTTAACTAGTCACTGTATATATATATATATATATATATATATATATATATATATATATATATATATATATATATATATATATATATATATATATATATATATATATATATAAAAGCATCAGTTGCCTCTTTAGTTCATGTTCTTTTCTCGCGGCCTGCAGATTTAGGTGAAGGGTCATGTGTTGGTAGATGGGATTTGGGCAAACATAACTTTTCACAGATATTAGTAAAACAATGTAGAATTTTCCTTGCAGTTCACAATCGTGCAACACTTTGTGTTTAACATGTAACTTTACCTGAGAAGCTTATGTCCATTGGTGGTGGCCACCTCTGCTAGACCAGTCAGAACCCTCTGGTAGTGACTGTCACTCTGCTGGGAGACGTGCTCCAGTACCTGCCTGAGCTGCATAAACAACAAAGACATTATTATTACTTTATGCTTTAGAGACATGCTCTCTAAAAACCAACTCATTTCAGTAATACCGTATTTTCGCGACTGTAAGGCGCATATAAATGTCTTTTTCTGACGCGCAGCTGCAAAAGTGTGTCTGACGCGCGTTGGGTGGAGCTACTCTATCCTTTCTCTGCCTTGCAGCTATATTTGCTGTGATCAGTGGGAATAAAGTAGTTTTAATATGTTTTTAAGTGTGAAAATCCACCCGAAAACTTAATCAGTGCAGTCAGTTCATCCAGATTACCATCCTGCCTTCTAATACTAGTTCTGTCGGAGCCGCTCAGACCCCCACATACCAGCGGCGCGCTGTCAGTAGGAATCCCTTCATCAGCAGCCTCTGGCCGGGTCGCCTCCTCGCGGTTCACCGCGGCGGCTGGTAGGTGTTTTTCATCTGAATAATCCAAACTGCAGGCAGCAGGATAATAAAAGCGAACATATTCTGCCTGCAGATTTCTGCATTTTAAGTTAATTTATGCGTCAATAAACTGTTTCAGAGGAGTGATCATAGCGCTCTGCATCAGCAGCGATGTGTCTCTCTCTGCCAGCTCCCAGGTTTGATTAATACTTTGTAATAAATACATGAATAAAGCACAATCATACTCAGTTTTGCTCCCGCTCTATTTTTAAATGCGCAGTAGAGGTATTTAAACGTAGTAGAGGACATGTACCTGTATATAAAACCTGCGCCCTATAATCCGGTGCGCCTTATGTGTGTGTTAAATACAGTAATGGCACACATAACTGAGACTGCGCCTTTTAGTACGGTGCGCCTTATGGTCCTGAAAATATGGTAGTTTTCTTTTACAGTCTTTATCAAACCTCGCCTGCCTTTACTACTCAACATTTTCCCATCTTTCAATGATACCACAGTGTGTGTTACTGTTTTTAAAACATTTTGGGCCCATTTTCTGGAAAAAAAACAGCAGATTGTGTGGATCCACTGCTCCTTTTGGGGCCCGATGTCTGGACCAGTTATGGTTAAGTTTAAGGAAAGGGTCAGAGATCAGAGACAAGCTGGAAAAATCTACTATTTGTAATAAATCTAAGGATACATTTTAAAAGATCATTAATATATAATACATACACTCAGTGTGTGTGTATGCAAAGCAATAAACTGCTGCACTTTGAGTCAAGATAAAAATAATTACCATATTCTCTTTAACGTCCTCATTCTGTGTCATCTGGATTAGCATCAGGAACAGTCTAGCATGGTGCTGGATGAGAATCTCACACGTCTCCCCATATCCCCCCTAAGCAGCAAAAAATGAGTTAACAAAAGGAAACATGCTCTATTACAGTGAATGGACCTGAATCAGCCACCTGCACACAAAGATCCAAAGGCGTGATTCCATTTTTGTCAGCAAGGTATTTGGCCCCGCGGGAGAGCAGGATCTGTGCGGTGTCTCTCTGGCCATGGCTGAGGAGCAACACAAGATTTGCTTATGGTCCAACAAGAACAGCCAGAACAATCTGAAAATGGCTGAGATCCATGTTTTAGTTTGAGTAATATTGAGAATAGAAGCAGGACAGCGAGGAGAGAATCCTGATACTCCTGCTGAATAGGCTTAGATTTTACTTTGCAACATGTTTTCCTTTTACCTGCAAGCGAAGTAAAGGGGTGTTGCTCCAGAGACATTTGGCCGGTTGATGTCCGCTCCACTGTCCAGTAGACACAACACCGTCTGTGTGAAAAAGTTCACTTTAACATCACATCCTGAGAAGCATTTCTCCTAAACACCAGGGCCCCTTTTCTCAAGGAGTCCTCAGAAAAAAAAGTGGCTCCTGGTCAAATCATTTCAGGACGATTCAGAGAATTTTTCCGATCCTCATATTGTATTTTCTCCAATTTTCCCTGTAAGATAAAAGCTATTCACAAAGAGTTTTAAGCCTTCATAGAGCATCTAAAGTATACAGATGTTAAAGGCAGGAGGAGGATTTTAAGTGAGCAAAAAGTTTCTAAAACAGAGGAGACGGGAAACAGAAGGATTGCTGGATCCACATCCTAAAAAGTGAAATATGTGAGCACATTAAACTCTAGAACAATCATCTTGCCCTAAAGCCGGGCATACACTGCAATTTTTTTCCATCGTTGCACGCAGCTACAGCTCACACTGTACAACAAAACCACAGGGTTTAAAAGTTCACAGCTCACGATGTTTGTTCTCTCACTGTGCGACCAGACGCTCTGATGCAATCTACCTGCTCACACTTAACGTCTAAAAACCAGGTGGGACTCAGCGCCACAGTGAGACTACTTGGACTCGTCTATCCGGAAGCCAAACGAGTAGAAGAGGAACATGAAGCTCACTAGAGTGAAACGCGCTGCCTTGGAAATTTTGTGCCCTAACAAGAGAAGGTGACGACGTATTTGGACAAAGACATGGCTGAGCAAACGTGCCTACAATGGTCTGTCAGTTTTACAGAAAGAAATCCATGTCACTCGCATCCCGCCATGCTTCTGTGTTTTCCTCTGAGTGGAGGAAGAAGAAGAAGAATCCTTGTTTGCGCAATGAGAGATTTGCCCACAACCACGTTATGACGGCTGACTGAATTTCAACATGTTTGATTTTCTCCTGACCTCAGGATTCCTGGTCGTGAGAGGCTGATTGCCCCTCGTTACCCACTGTACACTACATGACACAAGACGCACAATCAGGCTGAAAGTCGCCCCGATTGAAAAATTCTCGCCCGGCTGGATAATCAACCTGAAAACGGGCAAAAAATCATAAAGTGTAAGCCGGGGTTAGGTGGACACTGCATCGGTCTGATGGGGTTAAAAAAGGAGCCTAGCCAGTTTACCAGCGAGCCAACGTCCCTCTCCTCCCGCAGGGCCGTCAACTCTAGATCATGACAAAAAGTTGAGACTGTGGAGACAAATGGCGGAAACAAGCTTCTTCCTCATGGAGGCTGACACTCCCTAGGGCGAGGTCATTAGGGAGGGGCTTGAATTAGAGCCACCTGTCCTCCACAACCAATGGAATCAGCTGAGGTGAATCCAACCAGGAGGAAGCCCAGATCGACCTGGAGGGACCATGGCTGCAGCTCTGGATGCTCAGTTCAATTTCTTTTTGAGAAGAAGAAGAAGAAGAAATGTGATTTTTTTTTCTGCATGGTCCTTCAGATTACTGCTCTAATGTGGCTACCATCAGACTCCCCGTTTCACAGCCCAATGTGACCTGCATGCACCGAGGGACAGCGTGGACACCCAGCAGTGTAAAGTTTAACCCCTTGATATGTATTTATTCTTCCTATGCAGAATATCTGCAGAAGCGATGACAGCTTGCAGGTAGAGTCCATCTCCCCAAAGTACTCCTGGATCAGCTTTTCTGATTGGTTGACGCTCTGGGGTCCAGAGGAAAAAACTTAATTTACTGAAACGCTCGGATGCTTGGACACCAGAACACTCGTATGCGTCGCTCCCGATGCTCAAACGCGTCGCTGAACCCCTGGATGCCACCCCCCATAGACTTTGCATGTAAACCAGACTTTTTGAAGCACAGGACGTGCCCGTTAGCCTGGTGAGACCATCCTGATCTCGCGAGCTTTCAAGGTTTCACTCGCAGATCAGCCTGGAGACTCTCCGTTGAAGAAAATTTGGAGCCGTTCACCAAACGAACGTCCAATCAGCGTTGGCTTTGAGGCAGGTTGAGGTGTGACGCAACGAGAAGCGCAACAGTTCAGGCTAAAGAACATGGCGGCTTCAGCCGATGAAACTAGCGTTAGCGTGGCTATCGAGCAAGTTTTATGGGAATTACAGAGTATTTCTTCAATGAAAGAAGAGCAAAACACTGCTCTGGAGGCTTTTCTCAGAGGAAAAGATGTTTTTGCTCTTCTCCCGACTGGTTTCGGCAAGAGTAGCGTGGCTTGTGGTTGTGTTTTCGTCGTCAGTCTGTTAGTACGCCATATGCTTGGTTGATCTGATTGGTTTATTTGGCCCGTCTATCACCAACGTAGGCCAATCAGCTAACCAGTATTTTTGCCCCTTCCCAAAATTACTTCTACGGAAGGTTTCCAGATGGACATGCGGAGCAAATCCATCTGGCGGAGTCAGGTTACGTGCCCGTTAAGTGAAGTTGGGCCAGCTAAAAGAGCGAGGTGTGCGAAAACGCTGGGACCTTTTTCCACCTGGATCCCCTCTTTTTTGGCCCTCATGTCCCTCTATTGTCGCTTGCCCCCTTGTCCTCACCGCCTCTGCCGTATCTAGACCCACAGCTAGTTCCTGATTGTCCCTCTGGCGTTGTGGCGTGGAATAACATAGCGCAGACCACGCTTTAATATTGGGCAACAATATCTGCTACAGGAGGATAACCTGCCCTTAAGTGTTGTTAGTGTGACCAGATAATCCAAACTTTACATCAAACTTTTATGGCTATCTACATTTAAATTAGTTAATTTACCAATATTTGAGCCATATTTTGGAGTTTTTGTATTTATTTTCCTATTTGCTGTAATACAGAAAAGTGGGTGGATTTATCGGTTTTAAATGGAGTCACAGGTAGTCCCAGGCAGGTGTGCTGATTGCAGCGAAAACAAACAGTTTTTTGACCGTTGTCATCTTTGCCGGTTGTTTGTAGGTTTAGTTTTTCTGTTACTTATTACTGTGTTGCGGCAAATGTAAGATCCTTTGGTTGTAAGCCAGTGGGAAAAAGTTAAAGTTTGCTTTTTGTGAGGTCGTCGGATCAATTAATGTAACCTGACAACAGCCAGATGCATGTCTCGCTCCGCCAAGCTCCACTCACATACATCTGGGAACCCGCTCATTGAAAGTGATTTCCCCAAACAAATTTATGGTCTGGCCAATCAGGACGCAGGGTGGGTGTGTCCTGGAGTGGAGAAGCGACCGTGAGATTCCAACAACAATGGCGGCTCGCATTGAGGAAGCAAGCGTTAGCATTGATGCTGCCATTTCTTCTGTGTTGTCCAATCTATCTGATATTGTTTCATTAAAAGAACATCAGAGAACGGCTTTGAAGGCTTTTGTTGGTGGAAACGCTCTCACAGCGTCACGGGTTAGCTTCGGTGTGAGTGGTTGAAATAGCACGTCAATAAAGATGACAGACAAGTGGCTTATCCAATCATATGCAAGGAGTTTTGATAAGGCCCAGCCTTCAGTAAAGGCAATTCCTATGGCGGGTTCCCAGATGTATGTGAGTGGAGCTAGGCGGAGCGAGACATGCATCTGGCTGTTGTCAGGTTACAATAAATGCTCTGCAAGCCAAGAACCTGAAGGTTTACTCATTTAATATAAGAGTGCCGGTCAGCAGCCTGATCGTGGCTTAGGTTCTTTTTTTTTTTTTTTTTTTGTTGAGAACAAGTCACTACAACCAAAAACCCAAGAACCCTCTTTTAACAGTTCAGAAAGATCTTCTTTAATCGGCTCACTGTTTTGTGTCCATTCTGACATGCTACGTGTAGCGCGGTTTGCCCCATAGCGTCCTCCACGTCCACATTAGACACGTGCTGGACCAGATCGTGCAGAAGCTCCGTCCGCCCATTAACAGCCAGCCAGTGGATCTGCAGTAGAGGATGACAGTCTGATTCAGAGAGGGAGAGGTGGAAAGCATGAAACATTATCAACCAACAACAACTCACAGCAGTCAGGCCTTCATTGTTGCAGATGTTGACATCAGCGTTATATTCCATTAGTTTGCCCATGCACTTCTTCTGCCTGAGGAAACAGTGGAGGACAAAGTTTGGTTAAAATTCTGCGATATGAATATAATTAATCAGGGCTGAGGGTTTAATCACAATCATTTAAAAAAAATAAGATTTCCTTAAACCAGAGCTGCCAAAATCAGACAGAATATTGTTTGCTTCTCCTCTAAATACGCTTTTTTTATTTTTTTATTGTCATTCCACTGTCACAAGTACAGAGCAATGAAATTAACTCTCTGCTTTCAACCCATCCCCTCGGGGAGCAGTGTGGGGTTAGAGGTCTTTGCTCAGGGAGCCAGCGTACAGGCTGTGGAAGTGGGGCTCGAACTCAGAACCTCAGGATTCCAAGCTCTATGCCCTAACCGCTGGGCCGACACTCCCATGCTAGGTTAGCGTGAATGATGTCACCAGTGCGACAGGAATCAGGATAATTGAACTTTATTGATCTCACAGGAGAAATGCGTTTAACCCCTCCCCTCGAGGAGCAGTGGGCTGCCATCATGGGGCTACTGGGGAGCAATCGGGGGTTAAGATTGGCCTTAAAGCTGCAGTGTGTCATTTATTTCCAGATATCTGATGATTGGATAAAAAAAGCCTTCTGCAACGTCCGCATCTTCTATTTCGTCGTGACAAGGTTTGATTACGTAGATAATTTTTTAAATGGTATTTTATTAGTCTGTGTAGGATATAGATTTTATCTATGCATAATACAGCAAATATACACATTACTTGTTCCACATCGTTGTCATGTTTTAATGAGCTGCTTAGCATAGTTATATAACCAGACTGATTTTAGATGTTTAGTGTTAGGTTAAGTGATAAAAATAATCCTAAACCAAAAGGTCTTCTGTTGGTTTAGGATTATTTTATCAGGTAGGATCCGTCTTACTGTTGTTGTTACTCTATACTTGCCCCAGTCACATTAGAGCGTAATGGTGATCCCTATAGTGACTAGCTTAGCTCTATGCTGCCATAGTGCAAAAGTGTCTGCCTCTGTAAATGCTAGACCTGCTCCTATGGAATTGTAAATAGCATTTTCTTTTCACCTGTATTTTATTATTTCTAAAAGTTACAAATAATATCAAGCAGAACAATTTAGAAAGAACAGGTGGCCAGTAATCATTAATATACATCGTCCATTTTTTCCAAAGATCTTCATATTTTGCCTATTGTCTAAACCTTATTATAGAAGTGAGTCTTTCCATGGTGTGACTTTCTTCTACAACGTCTTTTATGAAACCGTCCGAACCGTTCGGTTCGACTGTCTCGGTTCTGTGTTGCGTCCGGTTCATGCGCTGCTCCTTTTTCTCATAGGCGAAGCGTTTACACTCCAGAGCAGAAGGTGGCGGTACTGCGACCAAAGCCAACCACCAGTAGTAAACAAGAAGAAGAAGAAGCGAAGCAGCGTAGCCGGGTGTAGCAGGGAAAAAAATCAGTTGTTGTGGAGAATTGTGTGAGTATGGCGAGTGGGAAAGAACAGGAGCTGGAAGACGCGCCAGCAGCACTTTATAGGTCTGCTGTATGGGACCACTTTGCATTTAGAGTGACCTACGATGACGGCGGAAAGAAAGCTGTGGATAAAAGTGCAACAGTGTGCAAGCATTGTGCAACACGTGTTATACTATACAAGACACAATAGATTTTCCTAACAATCAAAATATACCGAACCAAACCGAAAACCGTGAACCGAACCGTGGATTTTGTGAACCTTTCCACCCCTAGTCCATCCAGTCTTTATCTGTAGGGGTTCTTGTTGGTAGGGTTTTTATCAGTAAAGGTCCTTCTTCTGAATCTAAGCTCTCTTTACATAACTGAAATATAATGTCAGTATCGTTCTTGGGGTGCTGTACACAGTGGTGAAAGTAAGCCGGTGTTCTGTCAGGTGAGCATACCTTGTCATAGCAGCATACCCATAGTCTATACCCATCAGATTTGCATTTATCCTTTAAGTTTTGTATGAAAAATAGACTTTAAACTACCTCGACAGCCATGGATCGCTGTAGTCATGTACAAAAAAACAAACATTTTAAGGTCAGGTCGCCATACGCTTACAAAAAACACCAAAAAATAAGTAATCAAATAGTTTTTTTGTACATCACTAACAGGATACACGTCCGTTGAGGTAGTTTAAAGTGTATCTTTTGTACAAAACTAAAGGGATAAACCAAAGCGATAAACAGGGATAAACTAAAGGGATAGGTGTTGATAGGTTCCTGTAAAGAGAAAGGCATCTATGGAGATGCTTTTAGTCGCCTCAATCCGAAGGTTTCTGGGGCTGCATCCCATTGGGTGGAGCTCCCAGACTCTCCACAGCGGCTAAGTATTTGTTATGATTTATTTATAAAGGGAAGATATAATAAATAAATATGAAAGCATGGTAAACATGTAACATGATAGCGTAAAAAATTAAATCCTTTCCCTCAGGAGTAAAAACCAAGCAAAAAACAAAAATACATTACCATTAAAAAATTCAAATATAACCACATAATAAAAGCTAAAAATAATTAAGACACCATTTCTTCAAACTACTTTTTTTTTTTAAACAGTTAATTATTTTAATGACGATCTAATGAATTCAGATTCAAAGGAGAATAAAATCAATCTGGTAGATTTTTACCAATTAACAAGTTCAAAACTGTAAAAGCAATTAGAGATAAAGCCAGAGTGGGCGGATGGATCAGGAACCAATCATTCCTACCCATTCCGAGCAGCGAGGTGCAGAGGGGTACATCCAGAGATGTCTTGATAGTTTGGATTGGCTCCTCTCTTCAGCAGCAGAACCAAACACTCCAATGACCCACAGCTGCACAAAACAAGAAAACAGAGTTTTTTTTTTTTTTTAAGCTAAAACCATAAAAGGAGGCAAAATTCTTGGCAAGGTAAGGAAAATAACTGAGTTAGAAACATCAAATACATCAGAGTGCAGCTGTTCACAAACTCCAGTGACAATTATGTTCAACCTCAGACTGCATCACTCTTTACTCCATCCAGACAGCGTCTTACCCACAACCAAAATCTAAACAAATTAGCAAAGAACGTTCTGCTCTCTCTGCTTTTTCTCATAGTAGCTTCATCTGGTCTGTTCCTGTTTGGCTGTGACTCCATCCTGGAGAGAAATATCAGCTGTGCTGCTGCCATCAACACCTTTGTTTCTAGATGTTGGAGCTTGGCCTGTTTTCCAGTGTAGTCCTGTTTCTCTGACTGTGGATGGGGTCGCCTTTTACAGTTGCCTTTTGTATCTATGCCTCTTTTTCTATGTCTGCTTCTGTCTCCTTGAACCCCAGTGGGCCTCAGCAGATGGCCGCTCACACTGAGCCTGGTTCTGCTGGAGGTTTCTTCCTGTTCAAAGGGAGTTTTTCCTCTCCGCTGTCGCTACAAGCATGCTTAGTGTGAGGGATTGCTGAAGAGTCAATGAGTCGATGCAATCAGCTGGTTTTCCTTAGATAGAAAACTTTGAATCATCTGACTGGATGACCTGATGAACTATAAAATGACCTGAGATGACATGTTGTGAGCTGGCGCTATAGAAATAAACTGAATTGAATTGAATCAAAGAAACTCACTGAAGAACTGAGATCCTGGGAAACAATTTAAGAGCTTAAATTACAGATCCTGCAGTTTTGAACATTTGTATTTCTTTTTCATCTTTATATGCGGTTTTTCAATACAAGCAGGACATTGAACTGGCACCCACTCACAGACCAAATGCTCAGGAAGTTCTGTGATTGGTGGGTTAAACTATCAATCTACTTGCCACATTGGTAGGCTGCCAAAAAAACCAAGACAGCACTGAGCAAGTGTTGTTGACCAATGGCGTAGCATATTATTTTTTTAAAGAAAGCCCCAGGCTTGCAACAGACTCATTTTAATTCATGAGATGAAATTAATGAAACAGGAAATATATCCCACAGGGTTAAGGGTCGGTCAGGCATTAAAAGCTTCAAACATCTTTTTGATAAAACACTGACAGACGCATCATTTAGAAACAACCAGAAACACGATACAGACGGTTCAAAAGGATTCAAAGTATTTTCCTTCAGGTTTCAACATCCTTCCTTTGAAATAATCAACACCTTTGTTTAATGATGCTGGAGATGGACCTGTTTTTCAGTGTAGTCCTGTTTCTCTGACTGTGACAGACGGTGCAGAAGTATTCACACCCTTGAAAGCCATCAGTTATTTATCATGCACAAACGTAGATGTTCAAGGAAGTTCTTAGAGGACAGAACAACACAAAGTGGTTCCTTTTTGCAAACAAAAAGAGTCAGAAAATTTTATTATTTTCTTTAGGAATAAAAATGTGTAGAGCCACCTTTAGCTGCATCTACAGCTACAGGAAGTGATGAGTCCGATGAGTCAGCGGACTACAAGCGTGTGTCTGGCATTGCAGGCAGATGTCTTGCAAAGTACAAAACATTGCAAAGTCATTTGTACTAAGAATTACATTAAAGATATCTGAAATGTTCATTTTAGATAGGAAGAATGTTAATTTATATATTCATTATGATGAGTAAGAAATGCATTTGAGACATCTGAAATATCTATTCAGTCAACCTAATACATGTCAAATCAGCCACTTAAAATCTGTAGAGATATGTAGGTATTTAAATGTTTATTCCTTACTAGTACAATTATATTTTTGGCATTCTGAAATCGCATTTGTGCTGTAATTTAGGATATCTATATGAACATTTCTGGCTAGAAGAAATTTATTTTTGACCAGGAAGAGATCAAGAAATGGAACAAGAGAGAGGAAAGCGCTTCTAATAAATGCCAAAACCGTCTGCCATAGTCACCAGTTTGCCACCGGTTTGCAGGTGAACTGATGAACTGGTGAACAAGCGGCAGCAAAAAAACTGCCAGTTCCCTAATCACATGTATTTGTGTCGGGATTGCAAGGCTCAAAAATAAATGTTAATAAAAACAAATCAATGACCATCTGTTCCTGCAGACATAGCAGTTTCAAAGTACACAGTAAATTCCAAAGTGTTAAATATTACTCCTTATTTAGAGTTATTTAAACATTAAAACTTGAGTAAAAAATACACTACGTAGAGTTCTAATTTGACACTATTTCCAAGTGGGACCAAATGCACTCTAGAGTGTTAGAGTGAAAAAAACACGTTCAAATCATCCCTTCGTTTGTTTCTTGGATTCAGACTCTGCATCATAAAGATAAATCATGATCTTTCTGAAACCATATTCTGAATGTTACACAAATAACTATTAATGATTCCTTTTTATACTACAGACTAAAACAAAACAAAAAATCCTAATCACAAAGCTTGTTTGACATTTATTGTCCACTTGATGGCGCCATAATCCAATGAAGCATCACTGGCTGCATGTCCCACTGCACTGATTTCACTAGAGGTACAAACAGGGTGAAATATTTTAGCTTTCATTTCTTTTATTCTTAAAAAAAAAGCTAATGATTGTTTTGCAACTATTAATCTGTTGTTTTTTTTTAGATTAATCGGTTGTTAATCAGATAGAAAAAGGTTCCTTAAAGAAGACTTTTTGCTAAATTAAACCAGGTGAAATAAAATTTTAAAATTTTATTTGAGGAGTTCTGGATAAAGCAGGTTGATAGACAAAAACGATTTTTATCTTAAATGTAAAATGTTTGTATATTTTGCATTTATCTTGGTATAATTGCACTCTGTCAGCTAAAGGCATGCTTTAGCGTCTCTATACTCCAGTTAATGTTTAATCAATTATTTAATTTGTTGATTTTTTTAATAATGAACTAATCACAATTAATCTCATTGTTTCAGCCCCACTGGAGAAATCAGGGGAAGCAGTAAAAGCAGAGAACAGCAGAGACATTGCAGCAAGAAGAGATGGAAAATAAGGAAAAAATCTTCATCACTGTAAATTTCCTCATTTTGGTCAATCTAATGTCATTTCCACACGAATACAGAAAAAAATAAAAGCTTCAAGCAAAAAAAATTCTGAAAATTATTTTACCAAGTTTATAAAACTCCTCTAATATAAGCATTTAAAAATATTTGCTTTAAAAAACAGAACAAATTTAAAAAAAACTCGGAACGTCAGTTATTGACAAACACTGTAAATAATTCACTGTAATGTTTATTGAAATATCAGAAACGGGTTTAGTAGTCAAGTCACGAATAATGAATAAAACTACATTTTATTCATTATTAGTGAGCAATGAATAATGATAATAATAGCTTTGCGTGGCGCCCTGTAACACTTTCTCTTCCCATCCAGGAAGCTTTTTCAATTCAAAATGTCAGAATTAGCGTTGATTTCCAGGTTTGGAATAATGAAAGAAGACATTTTGGGAAGGGGCGAAAATACTGGTTAGCTGATTGGCCTATGTTGGTGATAGACGGGCCAAATAAACCAATCAGATCAACGAAGCATATGACGTACTAACAGAGCGACGACGAAGAGGAGCCAATTGATAGATCAAACTCTTGCCGAAACCAGTCTGGAGAAGAGCAAAAACATGTTTTCCTCTGAGAAAAGCCTCCAGAGCAGTGTTTTGCTCTTCTTTCAGTGAAGAAATACTCTGTAATTCCCATAAAACTTGCTCGATAGCCACGCTAACGCTAGTTTCTTCGGCTGAAGCCGCCATGTTCTTTAGACTGAACTGTCGCGCTTCTCGTTGCGTCATATAGAAAAAAAGCTTATCGATAAAAAAAAAAGCATATTGATCGATATCGATAATTATTGAAAAGATTTGAAACCATATTTTATGTTCAGCTCTGCCTGGACTTTTTATAATATTGCTAAATGATTTAATTTTAATAAAAAACACAAACACAGACTTCCAATTAAATCTTTATTTAACCAATTTTTTTAACCATAACAGAATTGTTTTAAAGAAAAATAACTTAAGAGACCTGGGTTATGTTATTAAATACTGACAAAGAATAAAATAAAGTGACCAGAAAAGTGACCAAAATAAATATAATAAATAAATAAATGCCCCCCCACCGCCGCCCCCGTTTCCTGCTTTAACCTGAGTTATTACTTTGAAGTTTCTGGCCCCTCAGCATTTTTATCTCAATTGTTAGAACTACGTGGGAAACTGCCCAGAGCTGAAAATATATATATATATATATTTTCCGAAGATTCCTCGGAGGAGAGCCGCGTCGGGGCCTACACAGCTCGTACTCCTGCGGGCTAGATTTAGTCATCAATTCTCATCAAACTATCTGGGCTTGTTAATGTGATTACTTCATTTAATAGGGCAATTGTTAGCTTAATGTTAGTATGTGACGGTATGGCGAGGTGCTCTATAACCCGCAGATTCTACTTCCTCCTTCACCTCCTTCATGTTAATCAAGGAGAACTGATCCGCATCCACCGCTACTCCTCTGCACGTCACCGTCCATGTACGTCTTCTCTGTCCGTCACCGTTAAAATACGGAGCCAAGCTATTTTTTGCTCCGGTTTCGCCAGGTGCAATCACACCAAACAGAAAAAAGAACATTGAGGAGATCCTCAATGAGCAGAACATTGGGAAGATGAGGAGGCGTCCATGGCTCCAGCCTTATCAAAATATTACACTTCTTAGATCAATTACACCGTCTCATTCCATTCCCAAATCTTTGCCTCGTGCAGAATGAAGATCATAACCGTATATCTGGACAGAGGAACTGTCCTCATTAGAGAAACTACTTGGAAAACAGATCTGACAGGCAGGTAATGTTAGGGATATACAGACTCACACGTCATCAATAAGAACAATCCTAACAACAGCATGGAACGCAGCTCAGCCAATCATATCCAAGACTGGGAAACACGTCTTTAAAAAAAAGATAATGAATAATTGTCCATCGCTAACATCAAGATGCATTTTCTCCTTTCCACTGAAATGAAAACAGAGTGGCAGAGTCTTACTTGGCAGCGATGTGGAGTAAACTCCTCTGTACTCGTTCAAAGGCGTAGTTCACATCAAAGTTGGAGTTGAGGAGCAGCTCTGACACAGATCTTTCAGAGAAAGGAGAGAAATAAACATCAACTCTGTGTTGGGGAATCGTCTTCCGTGTGGCGTTCAGATGGACACTCACCGATGCTGGTCAGCCATGACCATTGGCACCAGGATGTAGACCGCGGTCTCATTGTCTGTGGGCATAAATAAAAGAGACAAACAGAACAATAAGCCAAAACAAGACAGAATAAAGCATTCAGTATGTTGGTTTGTTAAGAATAGCCTTTGTTTCTAGATGCTGGAGATCAGCCTGTTTTCCAGTGTAGTCCTGTTTCTCTGACTGTGACTAACTGGATGTGCTCTCTTCATCCTCTGACATGGGAGCTGGCTCGGAGCTCGTCTGCCTGGCTGTGTGTTTCCTGGACGGGGCCGCCTGTGGAGCTGATTGACAGTTGCCTTTTGTATCTATGCTTCTTTTTCTATGTCTGCTTCTGTCTCCTTGAACCCCAGTGGGCCTCAGCAGATGGCCGCTCACACTGAGCCTGGTTCTGCTGGAGGTTTCTTCCTGTTCAAAGGGAGTTTTTCCTCTCCACTGTCGCTACAAGCATGCTTAGTGTGAGGGATTGCTGAAGAGTCAATGAGTCGATGCAATCAGCTGGTTTTCCTTAGATAGAAAACTTTGAATCAATCTGACTGGATGATCTGGTTGAACTGTCTCTGGAAAGTGACCTGAGATGACGTGTTGTGAATTGGCGCTATAGAAATAAACTGAATTGAATAAAAAGTATCTCTGCTCAGAATAAAGTGCTACAGTGGAGGATTACTCCTCATTTTGCCAAATCCTGGAGGAAAAAGGCAACTGGAGCACAGACTGGGCTTTCTGGAAATATTACCAAATAAATATAAATATATTTTAAGTCCACCATGGATAAAGTTTAAAGGCTTCCTCAATTAATACCTCACTTTCCTAATTAATTTGTATTTGAATGACTTGGGAGAGTAAATTAGGTAGAGCTCACAGAAAGAACATCCTGAGTTTGAGTCCAAATCTGGAGCTTTATGTTACCTTTCCTTACATAGAAAGTATTCATGGATCAGTGCTTCTGAGTTAGTTTTTTTGTGTCTGCTTCTGTCTCTAAACTCCCTAAATGCCGTTTGTAAATGGCCACCCACACTCATCCTTAAGTTTTTACTCTCCACTGTTCCTGCATGCATGCTTGGTGTGAAGAATCTCTGTAACTTCAACGAAACAGTGAATGTCTACTGTCGCCCAAACTCACCAATGAGGAAAAGCTGGATGGAATCAACTGGTGTTTACTGGAAAGAAAACTTTTTACCAAACTGATGGATCATCTGATTGAACTGTTTCTGCAAAGGGTCTTCAGAGGACATGCTGTGAACTGCTGCTACAGAAATAAACTGAACTGAGTTACATATTCTCCCTCTGAATGAGTGGGTTTTATGTGGGTACTGCAGTTTTCTTCCACATTCCAGAGACATGGATGTTAGGATATCTGGTCTCTCTAAAGGTGAGTGCATCTTAGTGAAGGACAGAGCACACCAGCTCTCACCTCTCCTTTTCACACTCTATCCATGCTGAGGTAGCAGCATTGGTTTATTAATGCTGGATAATGCTGTTTTGGAATAATCATGTGAACATATGCACATGGAGGGAGGGATTTACAATAAGGCAATACTAGGCAGTTGCCCAGTGCCCCAATTTCCTGGGGGACCAATAAAACTTGGTTTACATGTATGGCTAATAAAACTATTCCTTATTTGGGCAAAAATCCTCTCACCAAAATGCCATCAGAACGCTTCTAATATTAAGTGTGTGACCCCTGTAGCACTTTCACAAAAAAGCTCCTAGCGCCAAATCTAGAGACTTTTTACTGCTACTGGAGACTTTGGAGACAACATCTAAAAGCAGCGAACTCTGCTCTCCAGAGCCAGTAGATTGGTAACCCCGCCTCCTGCTCTCCTCTATCTTGTCTGCTGTCATGATTCATGCAGCTATTATTTCATCCAAATGAAAAATGGAGAACAGATAAGCAGATCATGGCTTGTCTACAGTGAAAAGAAGGACTGGGTTATTTACTTTGGCCTTTTTGGAAACACAGGAAGGAGCAATCAGCTAAGTGAGCTTAGTGCTTGGAAAAAATCTTTCATTCCTTTAGAGACAGCATGAAAAGTCAGCTGAGTACAAAACATAGAGAGGAAAACAAGAAGAAAAGGGACAAGAAGAGAGGGACACAACCTAGAACAGATAATGGATGTCTATTCTATTAACATTTCTACATCTGTAGGATCTGTTTGATGTGTTGTCCTCTCAGTTCAGAGGGCCCCCTGCCTGTCTTTGCCTAGGGCCCCACATTTCCTACATCCTCCCCTGTAGCACTCAAAGGTTTCCCTTTAGGTTTTACTGCTGTAGTCGATCAGCTCATAATCCAGGTAATCTGTTCATCTGATCAGAATATAAACAAAGAAAGAAGCAGCAGTTCCGCTGGTTTCTACAGGTGGAGACTAAACCTCAGCTCAGTCCAGCAGTCTAAAGCTCAGCTCAGTCCAGCAGTCTAAAGCTCAGCTCAGTCCAGCAGTCTAAAGCTCAGCTCAGTCCAGCAGTCTAAAGCTCAGCTCAGTCCAGCAGTCTAAAGCTCAGCTCAGTCCAGCAGTCTAAAGCTCAGCTCAGTCTAAAGCTCAGCTCAGCCCAGCAGTCTAAAGCTCAGCTCAGTCTAAAGCTCAGCTCAGCCCAGCAGTCTAAAGCTCAGCTCAGTCCAGCAGTCTAAAGCTCAGCTCAGTCCAGCAGTCTAAAGCTCAGCTCAGTCTAAAGCTCAGCTCAGTCCAGCAGTCTAAAGCTCAGCTCAGCCCAGCAGTCTAAAGCTCAGCTCAGCCCAGCAGTCTAAAGCTCAGCTCAGCCCAGCAGTCTAAAGCTCAGCTCAGTCCAGCAGTCTAAAGCTCAGCTCAGCCCAGCAGTCTAAAGCTCAGCTCAGCCCAGCAGTCTAAAGCTCAGCTCAGTCCAGCAGTCTAAAGCTCAGCTCAGTCCAGCAGTCTAAAGCTCAGCTCAGTCCAGCAGTCTAAAGCTCAGCTCAGTCCAGCAGTCTAAAGCTCAGCTCAGTCTAAAGCTCAGCTCAGCCCAGCAGTCTAAAGCTCAGCTCAGTCCAGCAGTCTAAAGCTCAGCTCAGTCCAGCAGTCTAAAGCTCAGCTCAGTCTAAAGCTCAGCTCAGTCCAGCAGTCTAAAGCTCAGCTCAGCCCAGCAGTCTAAAGCTCAGCTCAGCCCAGCAGTCTAAAGCTCAGCTCAGCCCAGCAGTCTAAAGCTCAGCTCAGTCCAGCAGTCTAAAGCTCAGCTCAGCCCAGCAGTCTAAAGCTCAGCTCAGCCCAGCAGTCTAAAGCTCAGCTCAGTCCAGCAGTCTAAAGCTCAGCTCAGTCCAGCAGTCTAAAGCTCAGCTCAGTCCAGCAGTCTAAAGCTCAGCTCAGCCCAGCAGTCTAAAGCTCAGCTCAGTCCAGCAGTCTAAAGCTCAGCTCAGTCCAGCAGTCTAAAGCTCAGCTCAGTAGTCTAAAGCTCAGCTCAGCCCAGCAGTCTAAAGCTCAGCTCAGTCCAGCAGTCTAAAGCTCAGCTCAGTCTAAAGCTCAGCTCAGTCCAGCAGTCTAAAGCTCAGCTCAGCCCAGAAGTCTAAAGCTCAGCTCAGCCCAGCAGTCTAAAGCTCAGCTCAGCCCAGCAGTCTAAAGCTCAGCTCAGCCCAGCAGTCTAAAGCTCAGCTCAGCCCAGCAGTCTAAAGCTCAGCTCAGCCCAGCAGTCTAAAGCTCAGCTCAGCCCAGCAGTCTAAAGCTCAGCTCAGTCCAGCAGTCTAAAGCTCAGCTCAGTCCAGCAGTCTAAAGCTCAGCTCAGTCCAGCAGTCTAAAGCTCAGCTCAGTCCAGCAGTCTAAAGCTCAGCTCAGTCTAAAGCTCAGCTCAGCCCAGCAGTCTAAAGCTCAGCTCAGTCCAGCAGTCTAAAGCTCAGCTCAGTCCAGCAGTCTAAAGCTCAGCTCAGTCTAAAGCTCAGCTCAGTCCAGCAGTCTAAAGCTCAGCTCAGTCTAAAGCTCAGCTCAGTCCAGCAGTCTAAAGCTCAGCTCAGCCCAGCAGTCTAAAGCTCAGCTCAGCCCAGCAGTCTAAAGCTCAGCTCAGCCCAGCAGTCTAAAGCTCAGCTCAGTCCAGCAGTCTAAAGCTCAGCTCAGCCCAGCAGTCTAAAGCTCAGCTCAGTCCAGCAGTCTAAAGCTCAGCTCAGTCCAGCAGTCTAAAGCTCAGCTCAGTCCAGCAGACTAAAGCTCAGCTCAGTCTAAAGCTCAGCTCAGTCCAGCAGACTAAAGCTCAGCTCAGTCTAAAGCTCAGCTCAGCCCAGCAGTCTAAAGCTCAGCTCAGTCCAGCAGTCTAAAGCTCAGCTCAGTCCAGCAGACTAAAGCTCAGCTCAGTCCAGCAGTCTAAAGCTCAGCTCAGTCCAGCAGTCTAAAGCTCAGCTCAGTCCAGCAGACTAAAGCTCAGCTCAGTCCAGCAGTCTAAAGCTCAGCTCAGTCCAGCAGTCTAAAGCTCAGCTCAGCCCAGCAGTCTAAAGCTCAGCTCAGTCCAGCAGTCTAAAGCTCAGCTCAGTCCAGCAGTCTAAAGCTCAGCTCAGTCCAGCAGTCTAAAGCTCAGCTCAGCCCAGCAGTCTAAAGCTCAGCTCAGTCCAGCAGTCTAAAGCTCAGCTCAGTCCAGCAGTCTAAAGCTCAGCTCAGTAGTCTAAAGCTCAGCTCAGCCCAGCAGTCTAAAGCTCAGCTCAGTCCAGCAGTCTAAAGCTCAGCTCAGTCTAAAGCTCAGCTCAGTCCAGCAGTCTAAAGCTCAGCTCAGCCCAGAAGTCTAAAGCTCAGCTCAGCCCAGCAGTCTAAAGCTCAGCTCAGCCCAGCAGTCTAAAGCTCAGCTCAGCCCAGCAGTCTAAAGCTCAGCTCAGCCCAGCAGTCTAAAGCTCAGCTCAGTCCAGCAGTCTAAAGCTCAGCTCAGCCCAGCAGTCTAAAGCTCAGCTCAGCCCAGCAGTCTAAAGCTCAGCTCAGCCCAGCAGTCTAAAGCTCAGCTCAGCCCAGCAGTCTAAAGCTCAGCTCAGCCCAGCAGTCTAAAGCTCAGCTCAGTCCAGCAGTCTAAAGCTCAGCTCAGTCCAGCAGTCTAAAGCTCAGCTCAGTCCAGCAGTCTAAAGCTCAGCTCAGTCCAGCAGTCTAAAGCTCAGCTCAGTCCAGCAGTCTAAAGCTCAGCTCAGTCTAAAGCTCAGCTCAGCCCAGCAGTCTAAAGCTCAGCTCAGTCCAGCAGTCTAAAGCTCAGCTCAGTCTAAAGCTCAGCTCAGTCCAGCAGTCTAAAGCTCAGCTCAGTCTAAAGCTCAGCTCAGTCCAGCAGTCTAAAGCTCAGCTCAGCCCAGCAGTCTAAAGCTCAGCTCAGCCCAGCAGTCTAAAGCTCAGCTCAGCCCAGCAGTCTAAAGCTCAGCTCAGTCCAGCAGTCTAAAGCTCAGCTCAGCCCAGCAGTCTAAAGCTCAGCTCAGCCCAGCAGTCTAAAGCTCAGCTCAGTCCAGCAGTCTAAAGCTCAGCTCAGTCCAGCAGTCTAAAGCTCAGCTCAGTCCAGCAGACTAAAGCTCAGCTCAGTCTAAAGCTCAGCTCAGTCCAGCAGACTAAAGCTCAGCTCAGTCTAAAGCTCAGCTCAGCCCAGCAGTCTAAAGCTCAGCTCAGTCCAGCAGTCTAAAGCTCAGCTCAGTCCAGCAGACTAAAGCTCAGCTCAGTCCAGCAGTCTAAAGCTCAGCTCAGTCCAGCAGTCTAAAGCTCAGCTCAGTCCAGCAGACTAAAGCTCAGCTCAGTCCAGCAGTCTAAAGCTCAGCTCAGTCCAGCAGTCTAAAGCTCAGCTCAGCCCAGCAGTCTAAAGCTCAGCTCAGTCCAGCAGTCTAAAGCTCAGCTCAGCCCAGCAGTCTAAAGCTCAGCTCAGTCCAGCAGACTAAAGCTCAGCTCAGTCCAGCAGTCTAAAGCTCAGCTCAGTCCAGCAGTCTAAAGCTCAGCTCAGTCCAGCAGACTAAAGCTCAGCTCAGTCCAGCAGACTAAAGCTCAGCTCAGTCTAAAGCTCAGCTCAGTCCAGCAGACTAAAGCTCAGCTCAGTCTAAAGCTCAGCTCAGCCCAGCAGTCTAAAGCTCAGCTCAGTCCAGCAGTCTAAAGCTCAGCTCAGTCCAGCAGACTAAAGCTCAGCTCAGTCCAGCAGTCTAAAGCTCAGCTCAGTCCAGCAGTCTAAAGCTCAGCTCAGTCCAGCAGACTAAAGCTCAGCTCAGTCCAGCAGTCTAAAGCTCAGCTCAGTCCAGCAGTCTAAAGCTCAGCTCAGCCCAGCAGTCTAAAGCTCAGCTCAGTCCAGCAGTCTAAAGCTCAGCTCAGTCCAGCAGTCTAAAGCTCAGCTCAGTCCAGCAGTCTAAAGCTCAGCTCAGCCCAGCAGTCTAAAGCTCAGCTCAGTCCAGCAGTCTAAAGCTCAGCTCAGTCCAGCAGTCTAAAGCTCAGCTCAGTAGTCTAAAGCTCAGCTCAGCCCAGCAGTCTAAAGCTCAGCTCAGTCCAGCAGTCTAAAGCTCAGCTCAGTCTAAAGCTCAGCTCAGTCCAGCAGTCTAAAGCTCAGCTCAGCCCAGAAGTCTAAAGCTCAGCTCAGCCCAGCAGTCTAAAGCTCAGCTCAGCCCAGCAGTCTAAAGCTCAGCTCAGCCCAGCAGTCTAAAGCTCAGCTCAGTCCAGCAGTCTAAAGCTCAGCTCAGCCCAGCAGTCTAAAGCTCAGCTCAGCCCAGCAGTCTAAAGCTCAGCTCAGCCCAGCAGTCTAAAGCTCAGCTCAGTCCAGCAGTCTAAAGCTCAGCTCAGTCCAGCAGTCTAAAGCTCAGCTCAGTCCAGCAGTCTAAAGCTCAGCTCAGTCCAGCAGTCTAAAGCTCAGCTCAGTCCAGCAGTCTAAAGCTCAGCTCAGTCTAAAGCTCAGCTCAGCCCAGCAGTCTAAAGCTCAGCTCAGTCCAGCAGTCTAAAGCTCAGCTCAGTCCAGCAGTCTAAAGCTCAGCTCAGTCTAAAGCTCAGCTCAGTCCAGCAGTCTAAAGCTCAGCTCAGTCTAAAGCTCAGCTCAGTCCAGCAGTCTAAAGCTCAGCTCAGCCCAGCAGTCTAAAGCTCAGCTCAGCCCAGCAGTCTAAAGCTCAGCTCAGCCCAGCAGTCTAAAGCTCAGCTCAGTCCAGCAGTCTAAAGCTCAGCTCAGCCCAGCAGTCTAAAGCTCAGCTCAGCCCAGCAGTCTAAAGCTCAGCTCAGTCCAGCAGTCTAAAGCTCAGCTCAGTCCAGCAGTCTAAAGCTCAGCTCAGTCCAGCAGACTAAAGCTCAGCTCAGTCTAAAGCTCAGCTCAGTCCAGCAGACTAAAGCTCAGCTCAGTCTAAAGCTCAGCTCAGCCCAGCAGTCTAAAGCTCAGCTCAGTCCAGCAGTCTAAAGCTCAGCTCAGTCCAGCAGACTAAAGCTCAGCTCAGTCCAGCAGTCTAAAGCTCAGCTCAGTCCAGCAGTCTAAAGCTCAGCTCAGTCCAGCAGACTAAAGCTCAGCTCAGTCCAGCAGTCTAAAGCTCAGCTCAGTCCAGCAGTCTAAAGCTCAGCTCAGCCCAGCAGTCTAAAGCTCAGCTCAGTCCAGCAGTCTAAAGCTCAGCTCAGTCCAGCAGACTAAAGCTCAGCTCAGTCCAGCAGTCTAAAGCTTAGCTCAGTCCAGCAGTCTAAAGCTCAGCTCAGTCCAGCAGTCTAAAGCTCAGCTCAGCCCAGCAGTCTAAAGCTCAGCTCAGTCCAGCAGACTAAAGCTCAGCTCAGTCCAGCAGTCTAAAGCTCAGCTCAGTTCCTAGAACTGATCTGTTTGGGTTTAAAGCTCAGTTCCACTTAGAGCAGATCTATAGAGCTGAACCTAGACCAGACATTACTCAGGCTAGATGCCTGTGGCTCGGCGCAGCAAAGCTTAGAAAACATGTGATAGAAAATAAAACTGAAAATAATGAGAACATGTTACCCTGTGGAAGTTCTACGGTCCTGGCCCGGCGCAGGGAGCGGGTCAGCCGGCTGAGCTGTACATTTAGCTGCTCCATGGCCCGCTCCATCATAGGAGAGCAGCGGACTTATTGGTTCCTAACAGGCCGCTGGAGTTCCTGGATCATCTCCTCTGAAGCCCAAACCATTTCTAACACTGACTGGACGTTTAAATGGCTCCCTGAGCCTGGCGCGGCTGTCCAGCTTCTCCTGCTTCCTGTTATGATGACGTATGTGTGACGTGATTTTAAAGAGCACGGCGCGCAAAGGGAAACGCCTCAGATACAACATGAACAAAACAAATGAAACCGCTTTATCATTTATTGAACACATTTAACTTTATTTATATTTCATCTAACGATACTTTAAAGGGTCTCAGATATATCAAATAATAAAGATAAATTAGTTATCTACCCCCATAGGCATCGCAAACTTAGACCCTGTGGTATTTTTCCTGAAGTCAGGCCCGCCTCCAAATGCCATTAGCATTCTTCTGGTGTTCCTGCCATCTTTGCATGACCATTGCATCAACATTTAGAGTGCATTTTAATTTAATGGATACAACAGGAATAAAGAAAATCCCAATGTCTTTGTACAAAGTAAAAGAAAATAACTTTATTTAATCACAGTTGTACGGAGGAGGATTGGGGCCACTGAAAAAAGAAAGTTAACTGATTTTTAAATTTTATTTCAGTTTAACATGGGAAAAAAAGTCAGAATTCTGTTGTAGTTTTTTTTCTCAGAATTCTGACTTTAATCTCAGAATTGTGGATCTTAATGTAGATGGGCACCATGAAGGAAGATGTGGGAGCGCTCAGCTTCACTGACAAAGATGTGATTTATTTGAGAGGGCCAGTGACACATTGGTGAAACATGACGGAATTAGGCAACGTTTTACGTGCCCAAGGGGTCGCCTCATTCATAGAGGAGCAGAAAACAAGAGAGCTAGTCTCTAAAACAGACATGGATATGGCTTGATGCTAACATGTTTGTTATCTGTCAAAATCCTGAGATAAAAGTCAGAATTCTGAGATTAAAGTCAGAATTCTGACTTTTTTTCCCATGTTAAACTGAAATAAAATTTAAAAATCAGTTCACTTTTTTTTTTTTCAGTGGCCCTAATCCTCCTCCGTAGAGTTAATTTCTACACTATGAATTTTTAACTTAATAATAAAATGAAATTTTCTGTTTTACGGGTATTTCTTTAAATATTTAATATACAAATATATGCAAACAAAACAAATTGTATACATTTTTACTAGTAGAGAATTTTCTTAGCTTTTAAATGTTATTATTGCCAATTTTGTAAGTCTTTTTTTACAGTTATAGAAATGAATATGAAGGCTTTTCATTATCTAAACGGTTATAACTTGAGGGCCTTTGGGGCAGGCATAAGCATTGTCTGAGAACAAAATGATTATTGTGATTATTGGGTTTGTTTGAAATCGTCCGGTCTGCTATGAAAATCAGAAATTGTTATTTTTTTCAGGAGGTTTAGTCAGGCATACACGATGAAGTTGCTTGAAGTGGCTTGGGCTTTTCAAAATAAAAGCTCCATGTTTAGCATGTTTAACCGTCTGGTTTAAAAAAAACATCTTGTGCTTTCCAGCGAATATGAAAGTATGAGAATAATTTTGTTGTTTTTATTATTATTTTAGTTTTCTCTAGATGTTTCTAGATCATTTGTATCTAAGTTGCTGTCATATTTCTAAGAAACACACTGTTTCCAGTTAATAATCACTTTTGGTTGATAGTAAAACACCCCTAATTGCTGTTCACCTAAAGTCATCAAGGTCTGATATGGAATTTTAAATTGAAGCATCATCAAGACAAAATTGGTGTCCTTTATCTTAGTTGCTGTCAATGTTGCCACTAAACTGTGCTTCCAGTCAGTTGATTTGCTTGATTTCAGAGGCTGCATCCTCAAAGGATCTGGTCTACCTGCACTGGTCCTGTAAGGTCTGTGAAAAAAATGAGGATAGAAGAGTTTTGGCTCAGGATTCAAACAGGTCCAGCCTTCTCCTGCTTTCACCGCTGGTACGGTCTGCCGCCTGGAAACCATGACAGTTGACACACAAAGCAGGAAAACAATGGATACCGAGCTTCTCACTGCTGTTCTGGGTGCTAATAACATTTCTGAGGAGCTTCAGCAGCAGTGCATCATCTCAGATTAATCATTTTCAGATTTATAGTCCCCCCACTGATATTGGAATCTCAACTTAAATGTCAGCCAGACCCATTAACACAGGAACAAAGAAAACCTTTCAATAAATCAAACATTACCGCCACATATCTGACTCAATAACTATTTAAAACAATTATTTTCATTCATTTCAGACAGAACTATTCACATACTTGTATTATAATAAACTGAACTTACATCGTCTATTGTTGTTTTTTCTTTAGAGGTAGATATTATTCTTTTTATATTAATAGCCAACATTCTCTATCTGGTCTGGTTTATGGAATGGAAATGTTCATTTACTGTCTGAAAAGTTGTACTAAATGAAATGTCGTCAATAAAAGTTGTCTAGGTCTAAGTTGAAATGCTGCACAGTTTTGATAGGTGGGGCTTTGCTTTATAGCCCCGACAGTGTTTTGTTTTTTCCTAATCTGCACAGATCTGCCCATCCTGCCTATAATCCGAGCCTCTCTATATGCAGTCAGTGTGACAAAGAAAAACATCAGATCAGAGGTTCAAAGGTTGTACGCAGTGGGTGTGTTCAGGCCTTAATGCTCACTGAGCCTGACTGTGAACAATCTGTTCTGTGTTAAAGTCTGCTTATGTTTCTTTTCTTTTTGTCTGGCTGTCATGGTTCTGCCCTCCGCTTGGGTTTACTTTAAAGTGTTTTTGTGTTCTGTGTCTTTATAGTTTATTTCTACCAGTGCTGAGTTCTTTATTTACCCTCTGTGCTTGTTTTCCTTTCCCCTTGAATTCCCTCTTGTTGGTTCTGGCCACACCTGCTCCCTATCTGCTAATTAGCCTGTCTTGGTTCAGTCTCCCAATATATACACCACCTCTGCAGTCACTCAGCGCTGGTTTGTTGCTTTGTTTCTTCCTTGTCTCTGGTTCCCCATATGAGTTTTCCGCAACGTTTTGGTTTTTGGTTCTTTATATTTAAGTTTCAAATTTACCTTAGTTGCCTCATTAATATTGCAAGACTCACCTCTGCCTCCTGGTCTCTGCATTTGGGCCCTCAAGAACCTCCACTCAGCCCTTGACATAGTGTTGTTGAAAAATTTAGATTTCTCTTCTATTATATACAGTGGGGCAAAAAAGTATTTAGTCAGCCACCAATAGTGCAAGTTCTCCTACTTAAAAAGATGAGAGAGGCCGGTAATTTTCATCATAGATATACCTCAACTATGAGAGACAAAATGAGAAGAAAAAAATCCAGAAAATCACATTGTCTGATTTTTAAAGAATTTATTTGCAAAATATGGTGGAAAATAAGTATTTGGTCAGTTACAAACAAGCAGGATTTCTGGCTCTCACAGACCTGTAACTTCTTCTGTAAGAGGCTCCTCTGTCCTCCACTCGTTACCTTCATTAATGGCACCTGTTTGAACCCGTTATCGGTATAAAAGACACCTGTCCACAACCTCAAACAGTCACACTCTAAACTCCACCATGGCCAAAACTAGAGAGCTGTCAAAGGACACCCGGAACTAAATGATAGACCTGCACCAGGCTGGGAAGTCTGAATCTGCAATAGGTAAACAGCTTGGTGTGAAGAAATCAACTGTGGGATCAATTATTAAAAATGGAAAACACACAAGAGCACTGATAATCTTCCTCGATCTGGGGCTCCACGCAAGATCTCACCCCGTGGGGTCAAAATGATCACAAGAACGGTGAGTAAAAATCCCAGAAGCACACGGGGGGACCTAGTGAATGACCTGCAGAGAGCTGGGACCAAAGTAACAAAGGCTACCATCAGTAACACACTACGCCGCCAGGGACTCAAATCCTGCAGTGCCAGACGTGTCCCCCTGCTTAAGCCAGTACATGTCAAGGCCCGTCTCAAGTTTGCTAGAGAGCATTTGGATGATCCAGACGATGACTGGGAGAATAGAATATGGTCAGATGAAACCAAAATAGAACTTTTTGGTAAAAACTCTACTCGTCGTGTTTGGAGGAGAGAGAATGCTGAGTTGCATCCAAAGAACACCATACCTACAGTGAAGCATGGGGGTGGAAACATCATGCTTTGGGGCTGTTTTTCTGCTAAGGGACCAGGACCACTGATCCGTGTGAAGGAAAGAATGAATGGGGCCATGTATCGTCACATTTTGAGTGAAAACCTCCTTCCATCAGCAAGGGCATTGAAGATGAAACGTGGCTGGGTCTTTCAGCATGACAATGATTCCAAACACACCGCCCGGGTAACGAAGGAGCGGCTTCGTAAGAAGCATTTCAAGGTCCTGGAGTGGCCTAGCCAGTCTCCAGATCTCAACCCCATAGAAAATCTTTGGAGGGAGTTGAAAGTCCGTGTTGCCCAGCGACAGCCCCAGAACATCACTGCTCTAGAGGAGATCTGCATGGAGGAATGGGCCAAAATACCAGCAACAGTGTGTGAAAACCTTGTAAAGACTTACAGAAAACGTTTGATCTCTGTCATTGCCAACAAAGGGTATATAACAAAGTATTGAGATGAACTTTTGTTATTGACCAAATACTTATTTTCTACCATTTTTTGCAAATAAATTCTTTAAAAATCAGACAATGTGATTTTCTGGATTTTTTTTTCTCATTTTGTCTCTCATAGTTGAGGTATATCTATGATGAAAATTACCGGCCTCTCTCATCTTTTTAAGTGGGAGAACTTGCACTATTGGTGGCTGACTAAATACTTTTTTGCCCCACTGTATTAATTTCTCCCCTTTAACTCACTATAAAAGTTTTCACTCAGTCTGTTTCACCTTGAAGGCCACTCATTTCTCTGCAGGATGGTGTTTGCAGACCAGACGTAGCTTCTTCCCATAACAATCCAGATTCTTTCTAAAGGTTTATTCATAACATGTTACTGTTTAACCAAAGTGTCTGTAATTTGTATTGACTCTGACTACTTTCAATTGTTGTAAGTAAGGAGGAACGGACGCTGCTCTAGCAGAACAGGGCAGAATGCTGTGCTATAAGGGCTGTATGATGATCTGTTCTCTCTTTGCAAAGATATGAATAAATGTGCCGACTGAGTGAAATCCATCGATCTTCGTTTATTTAACCAGGATGAATAGTTGAATACTTTTTTCCCACGACACACAGCGTGCTAGGGTTGGACTGACTAGCATTGTTAGCTCTTAACTACCTAATCTTCGGGTAGCGGCCATTTTGTGAGTTTATGACATATTGTTCTACCTGAGCCCCAACATCATCTGAACTAACCTATTTTACAGCATTGCTGCTAAATATTAATGCATTTCTGATTCATTGTTCATCTTTCACTGTAATACAGGTAAGACGTCACGGTTTTGAGGACATTTAATATCTCTGTAAGTTTTATTCACATCTGCTGCTATTTAAGCGACACTTTAAATGCATAAATCTTTCAAACGTGAACATTCCTCAGACTCTTCCAACGGACACTTAAACGCCTCCTTTTTCCTTTCTATTACTATTTTATTTACCTTTTGTTTGTGTTCAGTGTTTGCGTAGTTAAGAGATACAATAACACAGTGATAGGGATTATTAGATAATAAAGGTACCAATGTTTTAACCCGTGGTCTCTCGAGGTTATTATGCAGTGATTGATTTATCACCCAGAGCCAAATCAACCCTCTTTTGTCAAATCAAAGAAACAGAAACAATTTATTTGGTTGGCAATTAATAGCTGTGCTGATAACCATAGTCTAAATTACTAAATTGATGAAAGAAAGCTGGATTTGAACAGCCAGTCCAGTAGTCCAAGCTTGAGTAAAGACTAAAGAACCTTGGTGAATATCAGTGATATCAGTTATAATCATTTAACTAATCATTAATTGATGTTATAATTGATTTGAATGTATTATTAATTATCTATAACTCCCAGTTATAGTTATTTATAATATTTACAATCTTCTGGTAAAATAGCACAACACTAATTTAAATATAATCCAAGCAAAATAATGTATCCGCAGGATGAAATGGAGAAAACAAAACTTCCTGTAATTAAATGAAAGAAACTCCCTCAAAAATATGCTTTGCTTCTGTGAAAATGTTTATTTAAATGACCAGAAACATTAAAAATACTTCTTGAAATCTTTGATTTTATTTCACTAGTAGACCGCTTTTGTATTCAGTTTTTTTGACAGACCTCAAATTATTTCAGTTTGAACATTATTTAGTGCTACTGTACATTTGTGAAGATTTTTTATTTTACAAGAGAAAATGGCTTGGAGTTGGTAGGGCCTTCTACAATACTCTACCTTTCAGGGGAAAATAACATATTTTACTGTGACTTAAAAGAAAATAAAAAATCAAGTGGATGACAAATAAATGACCCAATTTTCATTTTGCACTAATATAAATTCCAACAGAGCATTAAAATGGTGCAAAGGCTTAAAAAGACAAATCTCTGCAGAATACAAGAAATCTGCAAATTATGAAAACAAAGCTTACAAAGAAGTTTAGGAAATCCTAAATACAAATACCTTAAGTTTTGGCAGTAGAATAATATTTATATGCATCCCATCAAACCATGAAGATCTTTTGTTTTGGTTTTTAAACAAAAAAAGGAAGATCTAAACAGTAAAAACTACACAAGTAGAAAGAAAATCAAGTCATGCACTCCGATTAACAAACTCTGAAGATGTTAATGCTGTCTATGAATAAAATCTAATTTTCATACTATTAAGGGACATTTTATTTATTGACAATGGCAGAATATGAGAAAAGCAGTCAGGCTCTAAAGGAGGCTGTAGAAAAGCTGGTGATCCTGGTTGTTCTTCACCTGCCTGCTACACATCTTTGTGATAAGCTTTTTCCTGCTGCAGAGAGGAGGAAGAGTCTTCAAAAACATCGTCCTCCATGCTTTCCTCTATAGGCTTCATCTTAGTCGAAGACTTGGTTTCCGGTGACTTTTCTGGAAAAATAAGTGTTGTAATGAGAGGAGAGAACTACTTAAAATGCAGATTTCACATGCACAATGGGTTAAAGCAAAAGCACTCTTGAGACTTTAAGATGATCAGAGGCCGCCCTCGGCGCTGGGAGTGCGTCTGCCTTACAAGATGAAGAAACTTTTTATGGAAGGTGTAACTCACCTCACATGGTGTTTTTTATAGAGTAATGTTCCAACGTACATTTTTTTTGTATGTGGAATTTAAATATATATTTTTAGTTACTTAAAAGCTTTGTTTCTAATAGGATATGAGACAGTGATATGTTCAAAAGATAATTATTATACAATTATACGTATTAAGTTGTTTGCATTTTGAATAAAAACTAGATTTACTAAAAAAGGTGTGATGAAAACGATTACAACCTTTGCACTTTACAGAACTCTCTTTCTAAAATGCTGACATGCGTTGGGTATTTGGCCTGTATAAATACATAGAATTTTCTATGAACATTGGATAAATCTCTATATTTATAGCAACATTCAAAGCCTTATTGGGCAATGGCAGCTTTCGAGGTAAGCACCCCTCTGTCCGTCTAACCCCCAGATTCCACATACTCGGTCAGCGCTCCGCCCCGCTTACGTACATCCTGCGGAGTACTTGTCTGTCATTTAATCAATGAGAGCTGTCCCACGTCCACCGCTATATGGCGAGCCAAGAATGGCGCTATTCGCATCTAATTATCACGTTAAGATTGAAATTCACCCGCTAAAAATGCCCTTTTTTCCTAAATGTTTTTATTTGGGCAGAAACTGAACACATGCTGGATGATGGTGGGGATTTTTTTTAATATGTCAAATTAAATTAAGCGCTCACAGGGTTCATACAGGAATGAGTAACTCTAATTTGATGCTTTTTAATGCTCTTTTAAGGCCATTAGAAATAATTTTAATGCTGTCAACAAGAACCATGTACACAAGTTATTAGTGTACATGACATATGAAGGAGATGTAAGCACAGTTCCAAGACTCTTGTATGTATGTATATATATATATATATATATATATATATATATGTATATATATAAAAAACACGACAAAATCAATCATTTTTACTGTCGACAGGCTGCAGCCATATCCTGAATTCCTCGTTTTTCAGCCACTTTTGTTTAAATTTGCATTTCCCCATTCTCTAGCTTATTCTCCGCCTCATTCTTCTTTTCCAAACAACTGCTTTACGATCAACTGCAAGCAGTTCTGCTCGAATTAATGGCAATATAACATATCTGATGAAACTTTTTTTATAAACTTTTTTTTTCAATAATCTATTTCAAATGCCAGGATAATCACTTTTAATGAATTTTAGTGCCAATTAAGGCCTTAATCAAAAAATAATAATTTAATGAGTTTTAATGATTTTTAATGATCCGCGGAAACGCTGGTTCATTTCTCCATGTTTGCTGCTTTGAATTTAATAATATAGCCCACGCTCTCCTCAAACTCCGAGGAAGTCAGAGCGGATCAAGATGAGAGAAGCAGCGGAAGCTGTAGGCTTTGCTTTGCGCAGATTGTCTTGAGCGCATTTGGGCGGAGCCTGGCGGTGACGGAGGATGTGGGATTTCGGGGTAAGGCGTTGCATCAGTGGGCAAGAACCTTCACTTGCCTTGCCTGCTATCGGTGGTCTGAGTGCCCAATGGCTACAAATTAAGAGTTGCCTTTCTCTCCATCAGTATGCCATATAGCAGATGTGGATACGGCATCAGTTTTTGGCTTGAAAACTTTTTTTTGTGTAACTTATAGGAAAATAAATCATTTCATAAACCCAATGTAGTTGTAATCTTTCATTCCAAACAGTGAAAGTTCTGCCAACCTTTATACTTTTGTTGTGAAATGCAGTAAAGACAAATTTGGGAGATGGCTTTTTAGTTTCAGCAGCAGCCATTCAAAATGACCCTTTCCTCATCGCCAGCCGAATGGCCGCCCGCTTCCATCCCACTATCAGCGAAATCCCCTCCAACTTCCAGCCACTGGAGTGACCCCCATCATGCATATTTCTTTACTCTGACTCCACCCTTTCACTGAATTACAGGGTCTGATCAGCAGATGACGCTTCTCTTTAGATATTAATGTCCAAATTATGACAGAAAACATACTTTATAAGAAATATTGATGTTTAAAAAGGAATTGTATGGGACCAACCAAGGGCCATCAAGGAAAGTGAGGAAATGTTTAATGGCTACTACTGTAAAGCCTCACTGTGCTTGAACACAGACATCCCAAGTACCAAAAACAAATTTCCGGGAGATTATCATTAAATTACCCCCCCACACGAGCTGCACAGCTTTCACAGCTTTCCTTGGCTCTCGTTTGTTGTTCCTGCGTAATATCAGTAGTTCTAATCTACACATGGTGCACAAATTATTGTATTGCCTGCTCACCCTCACTCGTACTAATAAAAAAAACACCACCTCGCAGAGTCTAAAATCCGGGATAATTTACCCGACTCGCGGGCATCCGTGAACAACTATCGATTTCATGGAAACTCCTGGAACTTCCGGGAGACTTGGAATGTCTGTAGAGATTAAAGTTCAATTTCAACAACAAAAAATGCTGCTAAAGAGATGTTAACAAATTAAATTGCTATGAACTTTTCTTTACCAGAACAGGTAAATTAAATTAGCTCAGAGTAGTGACAAATGTGAAGCTAAACTCCGTAAACCTTCAGTTACGCCAAATCAAATATGTTTAAATCATATCACTGTGTGGCAGTATTTCACCCAGTGTAGATGACAGTACTTCTCTAAATGTTTGTCACCATCCATTAATGATCTAAGAGGAAGAAATGATTGGTTTCTGATTGGTGTCTTCACTGACTGAGCAGATACAGGAACTAGCTAACATTAACCCTGGCTGTTAGCTTGGGAGCAGGATAGCTGCTCAGAATAAATTACCCTGGAAACTAATTATCTTACTGCTTTCATTAAACAAAGTTGCGAGTTAATTTGGCCATCATATCCGAAAAATCCTGACTTAAAACTTTATCTTGGTTTCCTAAAATAGGGGCCACTTACATGAATTAAAACAAAGATTAAAGGTATTTGAGTATAAATTACAAACCTAAGTCCACTGGTTTGTATAGGACAAAGAGCATGTTTCCTAGCACACAGGTCAGGCGGACTCTGGCTTTGGCTCAGTACTGGGAATGCATTAGTATGCATTCCTCTTTATCCACATGTTGGATGATCAATCAGCTTGGGTTATTCACCAATGTTCAGAGGTTGCCACAGTAAAGCATTATCACTTACTCACTTACCTGTAAAAGTTTGATCTCTTTTTGTCCTGCACAACCTGAAATCAAACCCTAGTCCCCCGCTTTATTATTATACATTTCAACCATTACACTATAGTGCCATTGGCATGTACCTGAAAAATTCAAGACCCTTTGTAAGAATCATGTACAGCCTTGAAATTGAATCAAACTGTTTAAAGTAATCATAAATCTGATGAACAAGACACATCAACAGCAATGTTGATGCACTAAATCTGCACTACATGTAGCGGCCCTATAGAGCGGCCATGTTGGAGAAATATCAGTGTGAAAAATGTATTTAGCTTCTGACAGGACATTAGAAGGTCGGCCTGTTTGGTCTCAAAAATGCATTGTATGACTCAGAACTGGTTACTGACGGCTGCAACAACGCTTCGCCAAAACAACAATAAATCTGTCCACTGAGGTCACTGCACCTAAGAGAAAGCTGGAGATGATGGGCTGTGCGAATGGATGAGGAAAAAGAGTTGAAATGTTCAAGGTTCAAGGACTTTAAGGAGGATGATGACATAACCATTTCAACTATTAAAGGAAATATTGTTTCTAACAAGGCGTTGGGCAATGTGGGGCCCTAGGCAAAGACAGGCAGGGGGCCCTCTGAATGGAGAAGACATAGAACAGCCCCATTCTCCAGATAGAGAAATGTTAATAGAATAGACATCCATTATCTGTTCTAGGTTGTGTCCCTCTCTTCTTGTCCCTTTTCTTCTTGTTTTCCTCTCTATGTTTTGTACTCAGCTGACTTTTCATGCTGTCTCTAAAGGAATGAAAGATTTTTTCCAAGCACTAAGCTCACTTAGCTGATTGCTCCTTCCTGTGTTTCCAAAAAGGCCAAAGTAAATAACCCAGTCCTTCTTTTCACTGTAGACAAGCCATGATCTGCTTATCTGTTCTCCATTTTTCATTTGGATGAAATAATAGCTGCATGAATCATGACAGCAGACAAGATAGAGGAGAGCAGGAGGCGGGGTTACCAATCTACTGGCTCTGGAGAGCAGAGTTCGCTGCTTTTAGATGTTGTCTCCAAAGTCTCCAGTAGCAGAAAAAAGTCTCTAGATTTGGCGCTAGGAGCTTTTTAGAAATCAAAGTGCTAGAGGGGTCTGAAAAGTGGCTAAATATAGCGACTAAAGCGCTAAGTTGGCAACACTGCTCTTTGCATGGTTTGTTTTCAAATGGTTTGCTGCTGTCTGTTTGGACCTTTCTGAACATGTGCAGCAAATGGACTGATCCAATATGGTGGACACTGAAGGGGGGGGGCTGAGACACGCTTAACATTATAAGTGTTCTGGTGACAAAAGGATTTTTATCAAAAACATAATTAATTTGCACAAATAAGGAATAATACACCTAAAAAAGAGTTTTATGAGGCCCCTAGGAATTTGGGCCCCTAGACAACTGCCTAGTATTGCCTAATGGTAAATCCCCCCCTGTTCACCTGTCATCAGAGAGGCAGGACGTCCTGCTTGATCTCTTCTCTGATCACACAATACAGATTAATAGTTCTCTTCATGTGCACTGTAAAGTTCTGGTTGTTAGTAGCAACTGATTGTCAAAAGCTGCAACTGACGTACTGTTTACATTGGCATCCACATTTCAGTCTGCATGGACATACCTGAAAAACAATTTAAGCTCACGACTCCTCAGAGTTTAGAGTGATCTCTGTGTATATAATCTAATATAAAGCAAAGAATACAGCTGC